AAACCAAGGTGCCTTTACCTACAGGGTATCTGGTGTTGGCTAATGGATCATGGTTTCACAGGGGCAAGTTGAATGAGAAGGCAACAAAAGCGTTGCTTACTAGGTATAATCAGAAAATTCAAGAAACAGTAAGCAAAAATATGATATAAGTTGCTGCAATGGAAAATTATGGGCCCTCATCTAGTTTCCAGATCTCAACCCTTGAAGAGATTAAGTATTTAGCAGAGCCCTAGCCTGTGACATTTGAGTTGTTATGGGTGGAGGGGCCAGGCAGAAGTATCTGAACCTGTCTACACCAGTGTTAAATTGGAAGCAATACTGCAATCCAGAAGAATTGATGATACTTGTTCAAGCATCAAAGACTTGGAAGATGCAAGAATATTACCATCCAGAACTGGGTACCACAGGTGAAGATTTTAGATTTTGGAAATGGATATTCCCATCTGTCCTGGATAATGTTGCTGATTTCTTTGCTGTATGTCCTGACTACACTGGCTTCCACTGGTAGCCTGTAATAAGGAAACCTGTTTAATCTCCCCAAGAAGGATCTTTATCTGAACCTGCTGTTGATATTTATCAATATTTTGTTCACACAGTAGGTTATGCATTACAAATATATTTTTCCAGGGTGTGGCTTTTCCACTTTTGTTGTGCTTTCACCCTTCTAAAAATTTATCTTAATGTATTCAAGTTCATCAGTATTTTCCATTTTGTCTCTTACTTTTGTACTTTTTAAGAAAGGCTTTATTCCAAGACCATAAATATATCACCTGTTAGAATAATAAATACATGTTAGAATTTATTCTACCTTTTTACAGCTATTTTATATATATTACATAAAGTACATATATATTATATTACATATAATTATTATGTAAATTACATATTACTCCATGACTCTCCCTTTGCTGTATTGATTAAAAGCTGGTTTCCTACTGATTTTGCCTCAGTATCTATCCGTGGTTTTAGTTTGGCTACTTCTGTCTCATGGTTGATGGAATATAGACATTACAATGATCTGTGCAGCTGAGATCAGATATAACCTCCCTACTCCCATCCATCTTCTGTCTGTGGTAATAGTTTCACTTCTAAAATACATAAAATACAGACTGGATTGTATTCTTCTCTGTTTAAGAATTTCTGATGGTTCCCAAGTGAGTAATTATATTAGCAAACATTTTTATAGCACTTATTATGTGCCAGGCACTGTTTTATGGATATTACACATATTAACTCATACAATTCTATACTAAAAAAAACTATGAGTTAACTAGTATTATTTCACCCCATCTTACAGATGAGGAAACCACAGCATAGTGAAATTCAGCAACTTGGAAGAAATGGGACTCAAACTATGCTTTCTGGCTCTAGAATTTGGGCTTTTAATCCCTACTTTTTTTTTTTTTTTAATGCTTACTTATTTATTTTTGGTAGAGAGAGAGGAGGAAGGAAGCAGGGGAGAGGCAGAGAGAGAATCCCAAGTAGTCTCCATGCTGTCAGTGCAGAGCCCGACACAGGGCTCAAAATCATCAACCATGAGATCATGACCTGAGCAGAAATCAAGAGTCAGACACTTAGCCAACTGAGCTACTTAGGTGCCCCTAATCCCTACTGTTTTTAATTATACTGTTTTTCTAATCAAGACTTCCCACTGAACACAGAACTAAGTCAAAATTTCTTAGCACACCTTCCAACTACCCACTGTATTTGATCACACTTCTCTTTCTGCTTCATCTTTGTCCTTGGGTCTACTGTAGTCTCTATTCACTACATTAGATAGATGATCTATTTAACTTGCGGTGTATGTTTATAACTTTGTACCTTACTCAGGCTTTTCTCTCAATCAGTGTTATCCTTTTAAATATTCTCCATCTTATTTTCTTCCATTTTTTTCCCATTTACTCATTCCAACAAAGATTTATTAAGCCATACTCCGTGTCAGGCTCCAGGCTTGAATGCTGGGTTATCACAGTAAATAGGCAAATCTCTGTTGCAAGGGGCTTTCTGTTAATAAGGAGCAGTGACAGTCCAGGGGCTAAAATATCACCTTCGCTGGAATTGTCTGTTCTTTCTCCAGTTCCAAGCTTCACTTTGGGACTCGTACAGCATGTTTTAAACCTTTATCACAGCACATTTTAGAGCATGCCTTTTCATCATGATTAGTTGTGTGTCATCTGCTTCTTATAAGGAATGTGCGGGTTAACCTATGCATTGTATGACACACTAAAGAAATTGTTGAATTTGACTAAATGCAATGATGGAGAAGTTTTTTAAAAAGTTTAAATATTAGATGGTGAGGTGGGAAAAGGGGATCTTTGTGCTTTTTTTTTTTTTAAAGACCATTATACATGTACATATTTGGGACAGTCCAAATGATTAACGGCTAAATTAGGAATAGAAAGAGTACTAACCTTATTTATTCCTTCTCTAACAGTAACTTTGGATGATAAAGACTTTGGAATGAGCAAAAAGGATCCCTGCAGCCTACAAAGACACTAATTATAAGGAAGCAGCAATTTACATTATTTATAAGGAAGCTATTTACATTATTTAGCCCTGCTAGACACAATAGTTGCAGAGCTCCATTCTTTGACTAGAGTGGAAAGAATAAAGCGAAGTGACAAGGGAATAGAAAAGATATTCTAATAGATGCATCTCATTACAAGAAAGATAACACCTCGAATATGTTAAGAAATGCTTCGAATATAATTTAAACTGAACAAAATGGAAACTTCCATCTTAGCGCGATGATGATTCAGAGTACATCAGCCATTTAAATATTCCGACAAGCTTTTAAAAACTACTGAAAGTTAAGCATTGTCAACTTAGTGTTTGCAAGGAGGAAAATGACTAAGATGTAAGGCTCTGACTAAGATACATAATTTGAGTATTTGAATTTAATAAGTCACATTATCTTTTACCAGTGACTTTGAAATGTAAGTGATTGCACTGCTCGTAGGGTTGTTTGTGAGAGCAAACAGATCAGAGGGGAAAAAGCCCACTTGATCTGTTTTATTTTTCTTTTCCTTGCTCCTCTCTGACCATTCTAATTTAATTTTATCCTGTGGTTTCACTTTCATCAATATAATAGGTAGTGCTCAGTGGTAAATTACATCAGCTTTTGATCTGAAGTAGACAAGTCTGTTATGTGAGAACAAGGAAAAGATGAGAAGAGAAAGAATTTACCAAGCTGATATTTTAAAATAAAAGATCTATGAATACTTTTTGTAAACACTCCAAGAATGAATTACTTCGTTAGGCCTAAATTCTTTAAAGTCTTAGCATTTTTACTGCTCACTTAGAGACAAGATAGAATCTTAATCAGAGAATGATTTCTAGATTTTGACTGGAGAACTGAACTCCTACAGTGAGGTGTCAGGGCAACTCATTGCCTGCTGAGAAAGTTCGAGGGTCATAATTACCTGTCTTGAAGAGCAAAATCATTATTGTTTTCCTTCAAAGAATATTAGAGTACAGTACACATGACATATTAGGCCAGCCTCATAAATTAGCACAGGCCCACAGAGCCTGCAAGAAATTAGGTCAGACCTGAAAGAAATCAGCCTGTGGTCCAATAAGCTTCTTAATCTTAAGTGGGAAACTGGGCTCGCAGGGTGTTAGGGTCACTGTCTTTATTTATTCTTATGTGTGACAGAACCAGTAACACTTTCCAGTATTAAAGACCTATTTTTATAAGACATCAAATATTTCTGGTTCTTCTCTTAGATAATTTTTGGTATTGCATAATGTATAAAGCAAGTAGGTTCCCTTTTAGTTAGAAACTTATACTTTAAGTAAATAAATAGTAGACTTACTGTTGCCCATAATATTCAGGGAAAGAAGAACTTCCTTTGGTCCTAAATATTTTCCTTAAGGCCTGTAGTTTCCCCATCAGAGGCAGGTCTCTTCTGTTTAAAAGGGTGCCTCAGTGGCTCAGTTGGTTAAGAGTCCAACTTTGGCTCAGAGGCCACTTTGGCTCACATGATGATCCCGTGGTCCATGAGTTCTTGTGGTCTGTGAGTTCAAGCAGGGTGTTGGGCTCTGTGCTGACAGCTCAGAGCCTGGAGCCTGCTTTGGATTTGGTATCTCCCTCTCTCTCTGGCCCTCCCCCATTCTCTCTCTCAAAAATAAATAAGTTTTTTAAAAAATTAAAAAAAATCCCAGCTTAAAATGCAAAAGTATTTTGAGAATTAACACTTCAAACTGCTAGTATGCATTAATGCTGAGTGAAATGCTTATTAATTCAGAATACAGTGATAATTAGAATAAGGATGAAATACATATGAATAATATAATGTAATCCTAATTGTTAGGCACAGACATCATTTCCACAATTACCTCAGGGTACAGATAGAGGGAAGAGAATGGATCTTTTGGAAGTACTTGATTCTTAAACTGGTTGTCAGATATTTTCGCAATTTCGATTCGATTGATAAGCTTTGTTGTTTTGAGAATGGCCAGTAGAAGCTTATTCATTTTGAGCACAGGCTTTGGTGTCACAAGGCTGGCATCTGGTCCCTGACACTACAGTTTACTCTGACCAAAATCAGTAATTGGTTCCAAAATCAGAATTTGGTTTCTTAAACTATGAAATGGAAGTACTCATAATACCCCGAGTGGTAAAGCTGTTACCATGACTAAATGAGATTATGGTTCAAACGCTTAGAATGATGCCCGGCACATGTTAATGATCATTATCACCATTAAGTGGTTGAAATGGAAAATGAGTGTAGTCTGAATTTGTTATCGTTTTGGCTCTACCATCTGTTGGCTCTGTCCGAAACCTTCTCTCTTTTCTTGTCTCATAGAGCCGTGCCAGTGAACAAGAGGGCACAAGAATCCCCAGAAGCACCGTTTCTTTCCGGACCCGGTTCTCTCTTCCTTTGCCCTCCAGGGGCCGCTGCGTTTTCCCGAAAGCGCGCGGGAGGTCTGGTTGCCGCGAGACCGTCGCCAGGCAACCGCGTGTACACACACTTCTGGCCGGCCAGGGTCTCGTCAATATGGCGGCGCCGGGCACCCCCTCGACCTCTCCCCTCGACCTGTCTCCCACATCTGTGTCCCCGCCAGGACCGCCGCCGACCCCGCCCCCGACCTCGAACGCGCTCTCGAAGTCGCCCCTGGAGTCGAAGGCGAGCTCCCAGAGCCCACCGTCTCGCTCGACCTGCCAGGAGACCTCGTTGTTGCCCCTCGCCGTGTTTTACGGGCCATTGGACGCTAAAAACCCGCTCCTGGCCTCCTGCGAGAGGGAGATCCGGGAATTACTAGGCTTTATGAGGAGAAAGAAGGCGTTAGCGACAACAGAGGAGCAGAAGCATGAATTCCACCGGCTTTGGTAAGCGGAGGCCGGGCCCTGGGGAGGGCGCCGGCCCAAGAAGGGCAACTCTTGGGGCCGGAGGAGATGCCCTTGAGGATGCCCACGGTGGTCCCAGAGCTGGGTCAGCGTTGCGAACCTGGAGATAAAAGCAAAGTTTAAGAAGTACAGACTCCTCGCGAGTACAACCCTTAATTCCTGGTAAATGTTATACCTTGGCTTCCTGCTCCGGTCAGAATAAAAATCAACACAGAAGTGTTTCATAACTCACTGTTCCTTCTGAGTGTTCCCCAATCGCTATCCCATGCCAGTAAATTGTCTCACTCGGGGACTTCGGGGGTTCACAACTTTCCATGCTGTGGGTACAGTTTTGTATATGAGGAAAAAGGAATACCTTTGAGGTGGCTTAGGTTCTTGAAAAAGTTAGTTCTTGATGCCATTAACTATGTGATTCTGTGAACATGTGCACTTTAATTCATTTTTATACCTTAATTCCTTGTTATATTGCTGTTAGGATCACAATGACTTTTTATTGATCTTGTGACTCGTTGCACATATGTTTGCCCTTTGGGGGTTTCTATCCCCATGTTATTACTGAATTTCAAAGTACTCATTTTTAAGGTTCTTTCCTGTTTATGTCACCATCTTTCTTTCCTACTCAAAATACCTCACAAACCTAACAGTTACAAATGCAGACAAATGTCAAAGAAAACCAGAATAGTGAACAATTTCAACTTTCATTTTTCATTCATGCATTTAATATTGAAGAAATAGTTTTAACTTACATTTGTTCTTCATTAATGCATTTTAAGTATTTATTGAACACCTACTCTATATCACGTACCATTCTAGGAACTAGGAAAACCTCAAATTAACAAAAAGATTTAACAGTTTGTATCCTCATAGAGCATACATTTTTGTTACTACAGACAGCTGCTAAACAAATATGTAAAGAAATCATTTTACAGGGAAAGAAGTGCTAGAAGAAAATTAGAGCAGAGAGTGGGGATAGAAGAAATGGTATGGTGTTGACATTTAAAATGGGGGTAGCTAAGAGCATGGTCAGGGTAAGTCAGGAAAAGTAGCCTTTGAGAAAGATGAGAAAGAGATACAATAGCAAGTGATGAAGATTTCTGTAGGAAGCGTTGGCAGCAAGGGAGAATGACAAGTGTGAATTTCCTAGGATGGATAGTGACTGTGGGAAGAAAAGGCTTCTGGTAGGAAAGGGGCAGATCAAGAGTTTATTTATTTATTTATTTATTTATAGATTAAAAAAAATTTTTTTTAAGTAATTTCTACACCCAGTATGGGTCTCAAACCCAGAACCCCAAAGATCAAGAGTCATGTGCACCACCGACGAGTCAGCTAGGTGTCCCGCATCTAGTTTTAGATCTATTGCGATTGAAATGTAATTCAATGTCCAAGCAGAACTATTCTGTAGGCGGTTGGTCATTCAAGTCTGAAGGTCAGAGAAGATATACATTTGGGATTTGTCAGTGTACTAATGGTATTTAAATCATGACACCTGATGGAGTAGTTAAGGGAGTGGAGTGTAGATGGAAAAAAGGAGAGTCTGAGGACTGATTCCTGGAACGGTCCAGCATTGACAAGTTGAGGGGATAAGAAATTGGCAGAGACTAAGAAGGAGTGGCCAAGGAGATAGGAAGAAAAGTGTGTGGTTTACTGGAAGCCAGGTAGAGAAACTGTTTCAAAGTAGGAAGTAATGATGGATTAACAGTGGCAAATCCTGCTAATGGGACAAATATGATGAGAACCCCAAGAATTGACCAATGAAAGCACATTACATACCTAAGCTATATTTATATCGCAAACATTTCTGTGTTTGTGCCTTAGGTAGCACTTTATCTTCCCATTCCCACGAGCATTCCAGTTCAAGTCACCACCATGTTGTGCTTTCCCCACAGCCTCTCGAGTCTGAAACCTGTCCTTCATTGAGCAGTCAGGGTAATCTTTATAAAGCAATCACGCGCTCTCGTCTAAAGATTTTCTATTGCTTCCTATTGCTTTTAGAATAAATTTAAGACTTCTTCTGCCATCCTCCAGGCTCTGAGCATCTGGCCCTGCTTGCCTCTTTCATCTCAGCCCATCCCTCACTTCTCTCTCAGGACTTTCCAGGGAGACAGATACAATTTTTTTCATCCCGGGCCTTTATATTTGCTGCCTCCTCTGTCTGAAATGTTCTTTCCTTGGCTTTTCAAATATCTGGCTCCCTCTTTTATTTCAGGTCTTACCTCAGTTACCTCCGTAGAGTGCCTTTCCAATGTAATGCAGGTTTGGCCATCAATTAATACTTTTTATTTATTTGTTTTCTTGTGTGCTGTTTCCTCCATTAGAATGGAACCTCCCTGCTGACTTTGGATAATGTGCCTCTTTTTTACTTTTCTATCTCTAGCAACTGGCCTGGTGGTTGGGATAGAGCAAACTTTCAATGAATATTTGGTATTGAAAGAATTCAAGGGTTAGTATCCTTATATTTTCAGTAAGTGTTAATGTTATATATGGGAAAGTAGACCTGGGCCGATTGGTAAGTATAGTATCTGTCCCATCTTTAAAGAGACTGTAAGAGAATCATAAATGTTAATCACTGACATGGACCTTAGCAATCTAATCTCTCACACAATTTAGGTATTTATTTATTTACACAACAACTTTTATTGAATGCCTACTATGTGTCCAGCATTGTACTCATCATGGCTTATATAGTGGTGAACAAAATAGGTAGGGAGTTGGTACTCATGGAGTTTAGAGAGAGAGAGAGAAAGAGAGAGAGAGAGAGAGAGAGAGAGAGAGAGAGAGAGAGAGATAGGCTTTCATTGAATCATTAAGTCAATATACAAACAACAAGTGCTATAAAGGAAGAAGCTACTGAATGCTTACATGTACCAGGCATCATACTGGGTGTTGGGGATACCGTGGTGAACCAGACAAAGATCCCTGCCTTCTTGGTGCTTATATTCTAGAGGAAGAAATAGGAAATAAACATCTTAAATAAGTTTTATGGTGAACTAGAAAGTGATAAGTGCTTGGGAGAAAACTAAAGTGAGGAAGGGTTGTGGGGGGAGATAGGAGACTGCAGTTTTCAACAATGTGGTCAGAGTAGGTGACACTTGAGCAGAAGCTTGAAGAGAACACACCTTGGACCTACTTTCAAACGAATGGTGAGGGAGGTGACATTAAGCTGAAATTAGAAAGATACCAGGCAAAGAGAGTGGATAGACAGAGGGAAGAAGCATGTGAGAAAATCTTGGCAGGAAAGAGCCAGAGACTTGGGAGGAATGGACAGAAGCCCGCTAAGCATGGCTTGGTGAGTGTGGGTGCAGTGGTGTGAGGTGAGATTAGAGGCATAGGTAGGGCTATGGAAGGTTTTGGAGGCCTTTTGTAGAGTTTGCTTTTATTTTAAATGCAATGGGAAACCATTGGGTAGTTTTGGGCAAGGGATTAATCTTATTTAATTTATATATATACATACGTATATATAGTCTTATCCAAATGGAACAAGAATGACAATGTGGAGGCCAGTTAGGAATACAGTTCGGTAGGATTCACTTTTATAACATATTTGACAGATGGTTAGTTTTTAAAAGAAAAAATATATAATTATGGGAACTTCCATAAGCCAAAAACATTCAGGGTATCCAAATATAGATTTTGAGCATAACAGCAATGTCATTAAATTCAGAGTATGATAGATTATTTTAAAGGTATGCTTTTGTTATAATCACATGAGATTTAGATATTCTGTTTATATAGTTATGATTTCCTATTTTAGAAAATTCTAAATATCCAGCAGCAACTATAATAAATCAGCAATCCAAAGGATATTAACATTTTCTTAAATGATGCACATTATAGTGTATATTATATTTTCCTTGTTTAATCATTATGTAAGCCATTCCCAGTGAACAGTCTTAACTTGAACTTAAAGTTCACTTAAAAAAATTCTCTTACGTAACCTTGATTGATTTAACAAAGCTGGTATTTTTCGTTTGTGAGTAATAAACATAGTCATCATTATCTCATCTTTAAGGTTTGGAAGAATTAAATCTTTCATCTACATAATTTAAGAATTCTAGTAAGACATGCTGACTTTTTTGGGATTCATTATATTTATTCTAATACTGTGGCATTTCATGAAGCAGCAAGTGAAAGTAAAAAAATGTTAAAAAAAAATCCAAACCAAAAAGCCTCTTCCTTTTAAAATTCCTGTGGCTCCATTTCTCACACAATTTTTGGGGCATGGTTATTTACTACTTGGTACATGTATGTATTTTCCTACTACAGAATATTATTAATCTGTCCAAGAAGGTAAGAATATCCTGTCTCTATGCCTCCCTTGTCACTCAATCTATATCATTTAATTACTTGAATGAATTAATCTACGTATTTCTGTTGAGGTTGTTCTGATAATATCCCAACATATACATTGTAAGTATTAGAGTCATCTTTAATCCCTAAGTTTACATTCCTACTTGAATTAGTCAGTTTGGGCTATTAATTATTAATTATTAATTACAAATTAGTCAGTTTGGGCTCCGATGGCAAAACACCATACTCTGGGTGGCTTAAACAACAGAAATTTATTTGCTCCCAGTTCTGGAGGCTAGAAGTCCCAGATCAAGTTCTGGAAGGGTCAGTTTCTGGTGAAAGCACACTTCTCGACCACTTTGTCTTCTCATAGCCTTTCCTCTGAGCAAGTGCAAAGAAAGAGATAGAGAAAGCAATTTCTCTGGTGTTCTTCCTAGATTGACATCCATGCCATCAGACCAGGACCCTACCCTTATGACCTCATTTAACCTTAGTTACTTCCTTAGAGTACCCCTTTCCAAATACAGCCACACTGTGGGTTAGGACTTCAACATATGAATTGCAAGGGGACACACACATTCACTGTCCTCATTTAACACTGTACGTAACACTGTCCTCATCTAAAAATTTATGAGATAGGATTGGACAACTGTTAAGGGAAATTTGGATTTTTCCTTGAGGCATTTATAATTTCTGAGAGAGAAGGAAGGAGTAAGTATTAACTAAATAAATGAACAAATTGAGCAATGATCTGCTACCTTTTGAAACTGATTAGAAACCGTTTTGAGAATATTGTATGTTTTGTTCTTGTTTACTTGGTGGATGGAAGCAGGACCCTAATGGACTGACAGGATAGTGGAATCCTTGAACTCTTTATAGAAAAAAAAAAAAATAAGAACAAGGAATTTTTTCCTAGTCATTTATTTATTTATTCATTCATTCTTTCAACAAATAATTACTAACTATGTATGTGTACTAGATATTCACTACTCTTGAGGCTAGGCAATGGATAACAATGGATAACAAATGAAGGTCCTTGCCCTTGGGAAGTTTATGTTCCAGAGGACAGGCAGGCATAGTAATATACTTGTTAAGATCATAGATTGACTGACCCTCAAGTCAATCAATATATCAACTATATATTTGGGATATTGATACTACCTATCTCAGGGTTGTTGTAGAAATGAAATGGAGAAAAAATGCATGTAGCAAAAGATCCAGAATAGCTAATGCAATATTGGAGGAGAACAAATTTGGAAGACTGACACTACTTGACTTCAAGTCTTCCTCTAAAGCTACAGTGATCAAGACAGTGTGGTATCAGTGAAAGAATGAACAAATGCATCATTGGGACAGAATAGAGAGTCCAGAGACCCACATACATATAAGCAACTGATCTTTGAGAGAGGAGCAAAGGCAATACAATGGAGCAAAGGTAGTCTTCTTCACAAATGGTGCTGGAACAACTGGACATCCACATGCAAACACTGGATCTCAGCACGCACTTTACACCCTTCACAAAAATCCGCTCAAAATGGATCACAAACCTAAAAGTAAAATGCAATTCTGTGAAATTCTTAAAAGATAACATAAGAGAAATCTAGATGACTTTAGGTTTGACAGTGACTTTTTAGGTGTAACACCAAAGTCACAGTCCATGAAGGAAAGAGTTGATAAACAGGACTTCATTAAAATGAAAAATCTCTGTTCTGTGAGAGACACCATGAATAAGATGAAAAGCCACAGATGGGAGAAAATATTTGCCAAAGACATATCTGATAAAGGACTGTTGTCCAAAATATACAAAAAAACCCTTAAAACTGAGTAAGAAAACAACCTGATTTAAAAAATGGATCAAAGAACATTAACAGACACCTCACCAAAGAAGATAATACAAATGGCAAATAAACCAGTGAAAAGGTGCTCCATACCATGTATGATCAAAAAATGAAAACTGAAGCAATGAGCTGCCTCTACATACCTATTAGAATTGCCAAAATCCAGAACACCGACATTCACTGCTGGAGAAGATGTGCAGCAACAGGGACTTCTCATTTATTGCTGGTGGGAACGCAAAATGGTATAGCCAATTTGGAAGTTCGTTTGGCAGTTTCTTACAAAACTATGCCTACCCTTATCATACAATCCATGCACTGATGCTTTTTTTTTTTTTTTTTTTTGGTATTGACCTAAAGAAGTTGAAAACTTATATCCATACAAAAACCTGCATGTGAATTTTTAAATATTTTTATTTTATTATTTTAATTTTTAATTAAAAAAATTTAAATCCAAGTTAGTTAACATATAGTGTAATAATGATTTCAGGAATAGAATTTAGTGATCCATCACTTTCATATAATAACCCAGTGCTCATCCCAACAAGTGCCTTCCTTAATGCTCATCACCCTTTAGACCAGGAACACCCTGCCAGCAACCCTCAGTTTGTTCTCTGTATTTAAGAGTCTTATGGTTTGTCTCCCTGTTTTTATCTTATGTTTGCTTCCCTTCCCCATGTTCATCTGTTTTGTATCTTAAATTCCACATGTAAGTGAAATCATAGGATATTTGTTTTTCTCTATTTCGCTTAGCGTAATATGCTCTAGTTCCATCCATGTTGTTGCAAATGGCAAGATTTCATTCTTTTTGATTGCTGAGTAATGCACATGGATGTTTATAGCAGCTTTATTCCAAATGCCCCAACTTGGAAGCAAACAAGATACCTTTCAGTAAGTAAATGGATGAATAAAGCATGGTGTATCTAGACAATGGAATATTATTCAGCATTAAAAGGAAATGAGCTATCAAGCCATGAAAAAACATAGGGGAATCTTAAAGGCATATTACTAAGTAAAAGAAGCCAGTTTGAAAAAGCTACATGCTGTATGATTCCAACTATATGGCATTTTGAAAAAGGCAAAACTATGGAGAGAATAAAAACCTCAGTGGTTGCCTAGGGTGAAGGGAGAGAAAGGGATGCATAGGCAGAGCACAGAAGATTTTTAGGGCAGCGAAACTACTCTTTGTGATAGCATAATGATGGGTAAACATCATTGTATACTGGTCCAAACCCATAGAATGTATAACACTAAGAGTAAACCCTAATATAAACTGTAGACACCAGATGATAATGATACGTCAATGTAGGTTCATGAGTTGTAACAAATATACCACTTTGGTGGGGTGTGTTTATGATGGGGGAGGCTGTACATGTGTATGGGGCAGGCTGTATATGGGGAATCTCCATACCTTTTGCTCAGTTTTTCTGTGAACCTAAAACTACTCTAAAAAATAAAATCTGTTTTTAAAAATGCATGTACAGAGCTTTGATCAGTGCTTGACATAAAGGAAGCAATAATTTTAACTATACTTAGTAATAATTAGACATTAACAGTAAGGCACATTGGAAAGACAGCACAAAATAAGTGCTTAAGGATAGTTTGCTAATTAATTGAGGTTTCCTGCTGACTTTGAAGATATTTTATTTTATGATTTTTACAGTGCCACCTCTTTGTTTAATATCTGGACCAAATATGCCCCGCGGCTGCCAGCTGCCTATTACAATGAAAAGCTTCTGAAGGTTGGAGATAGCCTTTGTGAAATAAAAGTAAGTGCCTCAGGAGTGAAAAAAGAGCCTAAGTGAAAATTACTTGACTAATTGTTATTATTATTTGGTTTGATACCATTCCTATTTTACATGATTTGATTTTTTTTCTTAGAAAAATATGAATGAGTCTTACAAATTTTAATGAGGCACAGTAACCAAAAAAGTGTTTGTTTTTTAATTTTGTAGTTGAGATTTTCCAGAGGTAAGAGATTCCTGAACGGAAAGACAGCTGGCTGGGGTTGGTGGGGCGGGAGCGCAGTCCCTAGTTAACAGAGGGTGTGGTAGGTGCCCAACAGGAAATGCTGAGTCATCATGTTCCTACCTTATACAAAGGAGCCCAGACACCACTTCCTGTTGATTTTCATGTGACTGACCTTGCCCAGTGACAACTTTCATGGTTCCTGGCCCAGCTGCTATGTTGTCTGGTTCCTAGTGCCCTGTTTTAATGACTTTCAACTCCTTAACGTTTTGCTATATGTAATTATTGCAGTCATTCCCTACATGCTCTGTTTCTTGCTTAGTATAATATTCCAAACTGAGCTTGTGCCCTATTTCTGGTTCCATAGTTAATGCCCACGTCTTGGATTGCTGTGAACTCGTGGGCTTGGTTCGGTAAGACCAACCAACCAAGACCACCTGGCTGGGTTTCAGTTAATGATAATGTAAGTTTTCCCCTTAAGCTCTGGCATAGGCCCAGATTATTCCAAGTTAAATGTGAATGTTTGACACATCTAGAATCCACGGACCAAGAGTTATTTTACCCAAGGTGATTTTAGGACTTTTTCAATGTTTTCTTGATCTTCAGTTTTTTAGCTTCATTTTCTTCTTCCATTTCTATTTTCTGGACACGAAGTTTTGTTTTGTTTTGTTTTGTTTTGTTTTGTTTTGTTTTGGAGGGAAATTTACCAAACGGAGAATAAGATGTGGAGGAAATTTCATAATGAAGATCTATTTTCTGCTGCCAAAATTAGAGCATCAGTTTAGCTTCGTATCATTGGACGGTGGTTCTTAGAAACTTGAAAATAAAGGAAAACTGTGGAAAAACTATAGAAAAAAAGTTTTCTGTAGGAAAACTATAGAAAACAAACAAATGGGCAAGATCTAACTTGTGAGCTTTATTCATGTGAAGTGGAATAACTTTGACAAGCATTAGAAGAGTGTCCCCTCTCATTTTTATGCTTCTCAATATAAGAACCTGGTGATACATAGCACAGTTTGGGGTTGTTTGTGGAGTATTCAGGTGGGTGGAGTGGATATTGGTGGAGGGAGGATGGAAGAACATGTTAGAAGCTGATAAAGTAAGTGCATGCTGTGTAGTGGCTAAGGATTCAGAATATTTCAGATAGAAAGGCCCAGATAGGATATTTTAAAATTTACTTAAAGGGGGGCGCCTGGGTGGCTCAGTCGGTTGAGCGGCCGACTTCGGCTCAGGTCATGATCTCGCAGTCCGTGAGTTCGAGCCCCGCGTCGGGCTCTGTGCTGACAGCTCAGAGCCTGGAGCCCGTTTCGGATTCTGTGTCTCCCTCTCTCTCTGACCCTCTCCTGTTCATGCTCTGTCTCTCTCTGTCTCAAAAATAAATAAACGTTAAAAAAAAAAAATTAAAAAAAAATTTACTTAAAGGAACAAAGAAAACATTTTTATCTACCTTTCACTTATGAGAAAGTGGACTGATAAAGGTAGAGTACTGAAAATGAACTTGACTTGTTACTTCCATTACATTTTAGTTACAGTAAAGATCATTTTGTTGGAATGGTCTTATTTATTTATTTATTTATTTATTTATTTATTTATTTATTTATTTTTGAGAGAGAGAGACAGAGAGAGAGAGAGAGAGCACAGAGGGGAGGGGTAGAGGGAGAAAGAAAGAATCCCAAGCAGGCTTTATGCTGTCAGCACAGAGCCTGATGCTGGACTTGAACTCAGGAACCGTGAGATCATGACCTGATCGGAAATCAAGAGTCAGACACTTACCCAATCAACTGAGTCACCCAGGCACCCCTGGAATAGTCTTGTTTGGAACCTAGATTTGAATTCATTTTATGAACCAACTTAGAAAGGGAAAGATTCAGAATTAATTAGTAAACAAGTAACAAGTCAATAGAAATAGAAACAAAAGTTTGACTGTGGTTGCGTCCCAAGGGGCTTCGTACCCCTACAGGCAGTTGACACATAGAGTAGCTGCTTTTCCTGGATACAGTTGTTGGGGAGGAGGCTGACTCATATCCACAGCCTGGCTCACCTCACCTCCCCTGAAACTCCAGGTCACCTGTGCCCTGTGGGCTGCAGAAATGAGCTCTGATTCTGTAATGGGAACATAAGCATGAATTAGAACTAACAAGAATCCTAGCTAACAATAGCGCAGACTTTTTTTTTTTTTTTTAAGGTTTTATTTTATTTTTTTCAAGCAATTTCTATACCCAACATGGGGCTTGAACTCACAACTCTGAGATCAAGAATCACATGCTCTACCGACTGAGCCAGCCAGGCACCCTAGCTCAGACTTTTTTGATTTGTCCTAATGTAGCCTCAAAGACCGTTGGCAGATGAGAGAGAGGAGAGAGAGTGTACCTTTCTTCTCTCCTCTCCCTTCATTTCTTTTCTTTCTTTCTTTCCCTCTTTCCTCCTTTTCTCCCTCACTTCCTACTCCCCCCCTCCCCCGCCTTTTCTTGCTTTTTTGGAACTTAGGAGGTATCAGAAAAGCAAGGCTAGTTATGCAACTTATCTTCGTCTCTGAGTGGGTGGATTACCAGGATAGGTTGATGTTGAATTTTTGGATTTTGAGTATATATAGGTATTACCACACACTCCCTGGTGAATATTCCCATTATTATATCATCATTATTCACACCCTGGTGAATAATATCATCTTGGAGATTGTGATGGTCTTATTTCACAATAGGCTTGTTGGGAGGAGAATTCATGAAATAATGCAGCTAGTGCAGTGTGTGTTGCATAATATGTGTTTAGAAATGCTAGTGGTAATGGTAGTGGTAATGTGATGGTGGTAATAAGAGTAGTAGTAGTAATCATCAATATTGATACTATGAAGAATAATACGAATGTTCCTGAATTTTAATAATGATAAGTAAAATGGTATTTTGAAACTTGCATCAAGTCCTCTTTTTATTTCAGGAATATAAATTGGCCCTTTTACAGTGCTATGGAAGGTACCTTCAGCAGTTCCATGTCAACTTTGATGAGAATAAAGCAGATGTGAATCAATTCAAAACTGCCTTTTTTCCAAAAGGCCTTGGAGACAAAACTTCTGCTCATACAGTAAGATGAAAGCAGTAGCTATTTTAGCTACAATTTATGATTAGCCATGCAATGTATTCTTTAGTTGACGGCTTCTAAATGTCTTTCATTTGCTTAGCATGGTGTTTGCTTGTGTGCTAAGTTGCTTAATAAATGTTTTCAGTGGCGGAGAAGAAAGTGCACGTATTAAACTTTGTGAAGATGTTTTGGAGATTGTGTCACTATAATCACTCATTCTTTCAGAAGGCGGTTATTATTGTTATATATTTGTAGAATGCTTTTAGTTGATGAAGTGCCTTGGAAAACATATTCGATCCTCAACAATTTCATGAATTAGAAACTATTATTATCCCTATTTTACAAAAGAGAAAGAGAAAGCTAATCACACAGTTAACTAGTGGCTCAGGAGATCAAACATAGATCTTTTGATACAAAAAATACTATGCTTTATTTCTAGTATACCAGTATTATTATTATGTTGATTGCTACCATTGATTCACTGGTTGAGCAGTTAGTGGGTGCTAAGTACTCTTCTATAAGCATTATATGAATTGTTGTCTTGCAGCCGCATTATAGTCCTAGAAGGTGGGTACTATAATGCCTCTTTTACAGGGTAGGGCACAGACACTAAGAAACCCAGCCCACTTGAAGCAGTGGGCAGAGTTGGTGTTTGAACCTTAATCAGAGTAACTCCAAAGCTATGTTATTCCAAACTTGATGAGTATTCAAGGCTTTGGAAACAGTGTATGGTTTAATAAGCAGAAAACATCAGGGCATGTTTTGGGGGTACATTGAGCAGTTCATTTTGGCTCTACCATAGGTACATGATTGAGACTACTGGGCATTATAAGTTGGCATCCCATTAGGAAGAGTACTGAATGAAAAGCTTAGGAGTTTGGACTTTTATGTCCTCTCCTGTGCTTAGGAGTTTGGACTTTTATGTCCTCTCCTGTGCTACCCTGATCCATGACCCCATCTTTTTCTCTTGTGCTATTATTGCATGATCCTGCTTCCACCCAGCCTCTCTGGCTTAGCACCAGTGCACTGGTGAGCTTCTTCTAGAAAGGTTATATCCTAGATGTCTGTGTAGCTCATCCCTCCCTTACTTCATGTCCTCTTGCGCTTCATGCTTTATTTTTCTTTATATCACTTATTATCATCAGATACATTTTTGTTTGTGTTTTTATTATCTGTCTCCCCTTCTAGAATGTGAGCTTTATTAGGACAGGAACTGCTCTAATCTCTAATCTGTATTGCCTGGAACAGTACTGGATATGTAATAGATGCACAATAAAGCTTTATTCAGTGAATGAACAAATGAAATGATATATTCTAGAATATAATCTTCTATTAATTTAGAAGCACCACGCTGAATAGATTAGAAGGACAAAGACTGGAGGCAGACGGTAAAGCAGTGAAGCAAATGTAAGAGTATGTCAGCAGGACTGTTGTGAAGGGCGTGAAAAAATATGAATAATTTGTTTTTTTCCATGCTAAGTGTAAGGTTCTGGCACTCTGTACTTCTCAATAAATATCTATAAAATAAGTAAGAGAATAAATGGATTGAATGTAGTCCAGCAGGAACTTGACAATGCAGAACTAGAAGTCTTGAGAAGTTTTGTTAGAGAAATAGATTTTGGAGTTCAGTGCATAAAGATGAAGCGGTAATAATGTATATTTTACTATCAGAATATTTTTGTGCAAAGATACTCATGTTGTTTAATGATCCCCATTATAGAGAGGCATTATGGCAGAGTTGGTAAGAATTTGGTCCATAGAGCCAGGCTGCTTGGGTTCGAGGAGCTTCTGTGCCACTTCCTAACGATGAGACCCTGGAGAAGTTATGTAATGTCTTTGTGCCTCAGTTTCCTCATCTGTAAAGCAGAAATAACAATAAGACTTACCTCAAAGGATTGTTTTAGGATTGCTGAGATAATAAAAGACTTAGAATAGGGCCTGATACTCAAACAATATTAGGTATCGCTATTGGTTTCTAAAAGAGAGAACATTTAAAAAAAATTTTTTTAAATGTTTATTCATTTTTCAGAGAGAGAGATAGAGCAAGCAAGCAGGTGGGGGAGGGGCAGAGAGAGAGGGAGACGCAGAATCCCAAGCAGGTTCCAGGCTCCAAGCTGTCAGCACAGAGCCTGATGTAGGGCTCAAACCCATGAACTGTGAGACCATGACCTGAGCAGAAGTTGGATGCTTAACCAACTGAGCCACCCAGGCACACTGAGGGAACATTTTTTAAAATACTTATTTATTTATTTTTGAGAGAGAGAGAGAGAGAGAGAGAGAGAGAGAGAGAGCGAGCCTGAGTTGGGGGAAGGAGCAGAGAGAGAAAGAGAGAGAGAGAATCCCAAGCAGTCTTTGCACTGTCAGCATAGGGCCTGAGGCTCAAACTCATGAATTGTGAGATCATGATCTGAGCTGAAATGAAGAGTCAGACGCTTAACTGACTGAGCCACCCAGGTGCCCCTAACAGAGCATTTTGAAGATAATGATTCCAACATGTATATGCAATCTATAAATGTCTTTTTCTGTGATACCAGTTATATGGTGGCTAGAAATAGTATACATGGATCCAAGTGGAAAGTCTTATGTGGTAGAACAAGGCCCATTTGTACTATTGAGGGTTCACTCCCACAGCTTTAGCAGTACTGATGACTCTCTAGCCAAAATCTCTCATATGAGATATATGTCATAAACATCTCACACTCGACATATCCTACGTTGAACTTACCACCATTCTTTCATAATCGGCACCAGACACTCACCCAAGCAGGAAACCACTGTAGACCACTCTCTCTATCTTCCTTCTACATCGAAATCCCACGGACTCAGACAAGACTTAAATCTTTTCATCCCTGATTCCAGCACCCATTTTAGGATCCTGGTATCTCTGGACTACTTTAAAGGCCTTTGATCTCTCTCAGTTTCCATGCTTGTAGCCTTGTGCCTCACCCTCTGCTTTTCATTTTCCACACTTTTGTCAGAATTAACTTCTAAACTATAAATCAAATCAATTTATTCCACTGCCCCTTGATATTGCCCTTTAGCTAACATCCATATTCCTTGGAATTATATGGAATGCATTCCATGTTCTGACCATGGAGCCTAATCCCTCACTTTTTTTAAGATTTTAGTTTTACGCAATTTCTATACCCAATGTGGGACTCGAACTCACAACCCTGGTATCAAGAGTTGCATGCTGTACTCACTTGAGCTAGCCAGCCACCTCAAAGTTTATTTATTTTTTGTAGTAATCTCAACCCCCAATGTGGGGCTTGAACTCACAACCCTGAGATCAAGAGTTGAATGCTCTTTGGACTGAGCCAGCCAGGCGCCCCTAATCTCTTTATTTTAAGCCTTCTTACCCAACCTTATAAAAGACTTTCAGTTCAGTGACCACAGCAACCACTTTAAACATTCCTAACACTTCATGTGCCTGGAATGCTTTTCCTTCTGCGAAGAGCAGGGACCACATCTTCTTCATTCTCAAGTCCCTGTTGCTTAGCAGAGTGTGGCAAACAGAGGTGTTCAACAAACATTTGGTGAATGAATTGTGTAAATGGTAATAATTGCATCCACATGAATATGGCAAAATGCTATGAGGAGGGTTTATAAAATGTGATTCAATTCCATATTCTTGGAAATAGAATTTTGTACTTTTTTTTGCTTTTGAATTTTTCTTTTTTGACTAAAGACAAGTAATCTTAACTAAATAGATGCTTTGAAGAAACCATTTTTACCACGTTTCTTTCCATATGTCTTAGTCCGTGAGGGCTGCTATAACAAAAATCCATAGACTGATGGTTTTTTAAAAATTTATTTATTTAAATTCAAGTTAGTTAACGTATAGTGTAGTATTGGTTTCAGGAGTAGAAGTCAGTGATTCATCACTTACACATAACACCAAGGGCTCATCCCAATACGTGCCCTCCTTAATGCCCATCACCCATCTAACCCATTTGCCCCCTACGCCCAGCAACCCTCAGTTTGTTTTCTTTAAGAGTCTCTTATGGTTTGCCTCCCTCTCTGTTTTTATCTTATTATATTTTTATAGACTGGATGGCTTAAACAGTATTTACTTCTCTCAGTTCTGGAGGCTGGGAAGCACAAGTTTAGGGGCTGGAAGATTTGATATCTGGTGAGGGCTCACTTTCTAATTCATAGATGGCTATCTTCTCTCTGTGTGCTCACATGACAGAAGGCAGTAGGGAGCTCTTTCAAGGTTTCTTTTATAAGCACACTAATCCTATTAATGAAAGCTCTACCTTCATGATCTAATCACTTCCCAAAGACCCCACATCCAAATACCATCACAATGGGGGTTAGGTTTCAATATATAAACTGGGCGAGGGCACAAATATTCAGTCTATAGCCCTGCATAATCTATTTAAGCAGAATCATTTCTATTTTAATTTTTCACATTTTAAGAAAATGCTTTTTTAAGTTGCATAAACTTTATTTATGTTCTTTATATTTTCCCCGCATTTCAGTTTCATGCTTTAAGTGGCAAAAATATTTGCAACTATGAACTAGTCTGTGACAATGACGTGAACCTGCAGAATAAAGAATCTGTGACCCAGTGCCTGCAGATTTTGTCCTCCTTAAGACTCATCATGCAGGTGGCTTTGCCACTGGAACACCTTTGCTGGATTATTTTCAACGGTATATACCAATGTCTTTTATTTTTCATCACGCCTTTCAGAAAGTTATTTAAATGCCAAGTTGGATGGTAATTTGACTGACTGTCTTGTTATTTAAAACATTCATTGCATAATAAGATGATTATGGGGATTTTGTTTTTGTCTTTTTAATATTTTTGTTGCATTCTAGTTTGTCCTCGTAAGCAGGGACTTAAAAGGGAGGGTCAGAGGCTGTGGGGATAGTCAGTTTCAGGTGTAAAGAAGTAGGGGCCGTGGTTAATAAGTAAATATAAGTGGAGAAAGATCAAAGGACTGTTGCAAGTTAGGTTGATTCTAAGCATCATCCATTCATTGGTCCTCTTCTCAAATACTTTGGCTAGTGACTGTTGCTTTCTACTTATCAATCTTCTCTTCCTACTTGCTTCTGAGTGAGGGGCTCTGGGAATGTGTGTGTATGTGTGTGTATATAATGTATTTACATGCATATATGCATTGCATACATACACATACATACATACATATATATTGTATTTGTCTTCTGAAATGAATCATATCCGTCAAAATATAGCAGGGAGTTACAATTTCAGTTTAATTTAAATTCTCTTTAAAGTTACAATCAGTCACCTACTATATTGATCTATGGATAATTTCTTGAAAGGAAAATGACAGTGTGTTCTCTATGTGTAAAACCAGGACAAAATAGCTTGAAAGAAAACACATTGGATTTTCCGTGATCTGTGGCAACTGGAAGTACATTTCCTAGCCTTTTCCTTCATCTCCCTCTCCAAATAATTTTTTTTTGACATTTTGATTGAAATGAGAGCTCACATTTGCTGTCAGAGATGAGCCTGATTTTGGAAGAAGTTTTCAGTCCAGTGACTATGAAGCTTTTGTGTCTGATCATCCTCAAGAAGATGAAGAATCTGTGATTCCCTGAGTAGCCATTTGCCATCTTTCCACATGAACTGCTCACATATCTGGGCAGGACCAGAGGTTCTGTGCTCGAGGAGTGGTAGGCCTGAGGTGTGGGTCCCATGGTTGGACCTTGCTTAAGAGGTAGGTGGAAATGATGCAGCATAATTCCCTGGCTGCAGTCTTTTTAAGATCACAGACAAAAAATATCCTAATATTCTAAAACAAAAACAAAACCAAAAACAATTTCTGTATCTTCCACATACCTTTACTAGATATGTGCTTTTTCTTTATACATATGGTATCATGTTCTAGATTTTATTCTGTTTCCTAAAATTTTTTTTTACTCAGTCCTGTGGTTTTAGAACCTGACCAGTTTCCTATGTGTAAATCTAGTTCGTTAATTCTGCATGTTGAGTTGTGTTCCAGATATTCATACACCCCTCAGGATGGGCACCTGGTTTGCTCTACCTCTATAATTGCATAAATTATTCTACAATGAATATCCTTACGTGTGTCTTTTTTATAAACCTAAGTTAGCGTTTTTTGGGGTTTATGTACATGAGTAGGATTGCTGGGTTGTGGGAGATACATATACTTAGTTTTGCTGACTACTATCCCTGTTTTAATTAACTCACCTCAAAGTTATTAAGGGCTGAGCATTGTTCTAAGTGCTAGGGACACAGGAGTGGACAACAGACAAAAACCCTGTTCTCATGCTTACATAATGCTTCAGGGAGATGATAAATCAAAATTAAATGGTGTGTTAGATAGTGATGAGTACTATGGAGAAAAATAAAGCCAAGAAGGGGATAGGGAGAAAAGAGGCGGGGCTGGAGCTGGGCAGCTATTTTAAACAGGGTCAGGGAAGGCCTCACCGAGATGACGAGATGACGTTTGAGTAAACACCTGACTGAGACATCTGGATATTTGGGGGAAGGGCATTCCAGCTGGGAGATTAACAAGTGCTAAGACATTGTAGTTTTAAAATAAGTTTGGAGTTTAAAGAACTGCAGTTCAATTTATCAAAAATACATTTCACCTTTTCTGTTAGACTTTAACACTGATTCTCTTTCCTTTTAATTGACTATTATGCATACACACTCTTGGTTTCTTAAGATAGTTAACCAATTTTGGTTCTTTCACAAACTCTAACTGGGTGTGTGACTATTGCATAATACCTTACTTCACAACCAACCTGAACCCAGCTCATTCAACCCTCACATAGTAAGATTATTTTGGTGGTGGCTGTCTTTGATGAAAAGGAGTCACATGACAAGGCAATAAACTCATATTAGGGATTTAGTTAAAAATAGAACAAAACAAACTTTCAGAGGTATCCTGAGATTTCACCCGTCTTCCATTTTGTATCGTTTACTCTCCCTGTCAGGCTTCTGCAGTGGGAATTTGTGAGCCATGCCAAGAACCTGAACCATCAAAGAAGGATTCAGTTATAAGTCAGGACATATTAGGGCTGGAAAGGTTAAAATCACATTTTTAAAGGACAGAGGGCCCTTGTCATTCTTGAGGGCAGTCTCCTGAGGTCTTTTGAAATTCCCCAGTTCCCGTTACTGACATGTTTACCCAGGCTCCTGGCTCCCACCTGAATCACATGTTTTGTGGAGACGCATGAATTTGCTGTGGGTATCCTTACTTGGTGACTTTTTTAAAATGAAGAAACACTATTATACAGTTTCATTTTTAAAGATTAAGGGTAAAGGTCAACAAAAACCACTTGAGATAAGAATGCTGGGCTTGAGCTGTTACTAGCCAACTGGTTTCTTCCCTGGTGCATCTTCTGTGAAATAACTAATTCCATGGCCTGGGAGCAGTCACACTGAGAAGGCTGAGTCCTTAAATGTTAAGGACCTATTGCATTGTCTATAAAGTTTATGGTGCTGTAAGTGTTTAAAAGTTTATTTGGGGCACCTGGGTGGTTCAGTCGGTTATGTGTCTGACTTTGGCTCAGGTCCTGATCTCACGGTTCATGAGTTCGAGCCCCTCGTCGGGCTCTATGCTGACAGTTGGAGCCTGCTTTGGATTCTGTGTCTTCCTCTCTCTCCTCCTCCTCCCCCACTCGCTCTCTCTCTCTCAAAAATAAACGTTAAAAAATTTAAAAAAGTTTATTCAATATTTTTGTTATTGACATATAATTAATGGTTATTATGCTATGCTTACAAGGGTATTTTAATCAAGTGGTGTGTGTTTTGAAGCAGATGCTGTTTTCTCAGAAGCTCTTAAAGTTTAAGTGCAAACATGGATTCATAACTGTTGAATTTTGATGGTTGTGCATTTTAGATCAGATATTTTATAGAAAATATTTAGACTACTTGTCATTATAATTACATGCCTTTTAAAGGTATGTTACCATCTTTGGGGTATGTTTATAGCATGATAATGTCCTTTGTATATAGAGAGATGTCTGGTGATGTTGTTCCCCATTCCTGCTCCAACTCTGCCAGTTTTCTAGCTTCTGGTATTTAATTAATGACCTGACAAAAAAAAATATCATACTTTATTTTTTTTTTTTAATTTTTTTTTTTCAACGTTTATTTATTTTTGGGACAGAAAGAGACAGAGCATGAACGGGCAAGGGGCAGAGAGAGAGGGAGACACAGAATCGGAAACAGGCTCCAGGCTCTGAGCCATCAGCCCAGAGCCCGACGCGGGGCTCGAACTCACGGACCGTGAGATCGTGACCTGGTTGAAGTCGGACGCTTAACCGACTGCGCCACCCAGGCGCCCCAAAAATATCATACTTTAAATACGAGTTGGAAATGCTGTTTTTCACTGGGGTGCTTATACCTTAATAATGGGGCAAATATTATATGACACTGCAAATAAATAAAAAATAAATAAATTATATGTTTTGATTTTAAATTTTCATGAGTTTCTTTGCTTAGTATTATGCTATTTTCATTAAAGATGTATTCTAATCTTATTTGGAGATAAATCTTTAGTTTTTCAATCATAGGGAAGCCATGGGAACCAACAGCATTTTGTATGAATTAATAAAACCACACGGTACCTAAATTATGCTACTAAAATATTCCTTTGTTCAATATATTTCAAAACTTACGCTTCCTTTCAAATGAGACTAAAAGATTCCTGTGGCAACTTACTTAAAATATGTTCAAATTAGTTCTTTTAATGATTTGGCTGCAAGTTACAAAAAAATTGTAACGATTATAAACTCTCTATTATCAGACTTTCTCATGAGATCACTTGTTTTAGGGACTACAGACTTAAACAACAGAAATTGGAATATAAAATCGCCATTATTTAACTGTAAAACATGTTAACAGTCTTTTTCTTCATCTAGGTACCATTTACATTTACACCATTTGCAGAAAACTGATGATCATAGGTCAGTCTTCCAAGGTATGAAAATTACTGACAAAATATCTTGCCTTGTATTTCCTGTTTTTCTCAAGACTTTTGTTAGCATTGAATGCTAAACAAAGGAAATCAGTGGATTATATAATAAAAGTTAATAAGTATATATTATATAGTTTTACTGTTCATACTTTTACTTTAACATGACCATCTGTAAAGATAAAAATCTAAAAAAGACAATACAGTATTAATGAAAAAAAAAAAAAGAATTCCTAAAATTGATAGGTAATCTTCAGTGTTCTCAGTCTCTCAGATTAGTCATTACTTGTCAACTTGATACTGAACATCCCTCTGGTAACTATATCTTTAGGTAGGGTGACCATGCATCCTGGCTTGCCAGGACAGTCCTGGTTTATGTCTGTTTTCCTGGAGTAATTATTAATAGTGCTCCCTTTCACTCTTTAAAGTGTTCTGGTTTGGATAATAAATTATGGTTACCCTGTTTATGTATGATGCTATGGAGTTTGGACTTTGTTCTCCTTGAACAGCTTGGACTTTACTTATGGCCTACCTGCTAGTTGGGTGAATGTACACCTAACCATTGGCCCAGTCATGAGCTGAGGGGAAGGGGCCTTTATTTCATAAGAAGAATCTCACTTACTAGAACTTACTGCTCAGTTTTAGCTTGAGGAAGTGGCTGACACTTCTATTGACTTCCCTTCAATGTTGGTGGCACTTTTGTGTGTAGGAGACATATTTATTCCCTGTGTCAGTATCCGGTCATTAGAATATAGCCCAAGAAGGGAGAATATACTCCTGTTGAGACCATGCTTGAATTGTTTCTGGTGTCTGAAACATTCCTGCTTTATTTTTCTTTCCTGCATGCAAAACCTTATGCTGAATATTCTAACACTCAGGTCAGATACTTTTTTAAAAAAATTTATTTCTTCAAAATATAACCCAAGTATCTTAAAATTTGACAATTCTTAAAAAATACAAATGGAAGAAAAGATGCTTGCATGCTCAGTGCATAACATTAATTATGTGTTCTCTCTGTTTTGTTCCTCAAATTTAAAAGCTCTATTACTGACAGTGACTTGAGCAAGCTCTGTGCCAGCATTTTGAATGTAAATTAAAATGAAGGGAGACTGTCTCATGAATAATGTAAATGTGGCCTACACACTATTCCAACAATTCTGCATTCAGTTCCAGATGATTTCCTAAAGAGAATTTGCATACTCCTGTTGCACTTGCTGTAGCAACAAATACTGCTTCACAGAACCATCATAGTTTGGTCTGCTACAGCATTTGTCTGCCAGAGCCTTGAAGGGCAGAGACATCCGTGCCAAAACTTAACTGTTAGTGTTTGTGCTTGTTAATGCTGAGAGAATTTTAGTTTAATGTCACAGTCATCTTAAAATGATTTCTTATTCAGATCCGATGTAAGACATCTCTCCCCCTTATTGAGCTTGAGCTTTTGTCTGACAAAATAAGGGCTGAAGGAGGACAGTTCTATGGTCCCAGTCTTGTGGGATAGGAATGGGGGCAAGTGAGAGATGCAAGAAATTTGGGGTGGTGGGTAGTTGTACAGTTAGCACTTGAAGATTGGAATGAGATTCTTTCAGTTTGTTCACTATAATAAGTTTCAAGGAAATTAATAATTTTCATCTAGAAATTCCCAAGCCCTCAGCTGGTGAGTTGATTCCTGAGCTGAGGCTATAAATGAACTTTATGGGTCCATTTAATGGGGACAAGTCCTTGGAGGTTCAGCGACATCTGAGTGCTTCTGGGTATGAGGGTTCCCGATTCTGCAGCAATTTTAGAATTCAAGTCTGTTATAGCATACAACAGAAAGAGAAATAGACATGGGATCCTCAGGCTTTTCCGGTGTCACCCTAGAGCAATCTAAACTCCTATTCCTATAGGATCTAGGCATAATGGCTACCATTTGTTATTATTATTGAATCTCTACTATGTGTTAGGTCTGTGTGAAGGGCATATATAATGCTCAGTATTGTCTTACGAGGTGGGCAATATCATCATCATCATTTATTGAATGAATGCCTACCATTTATCAGGTATGCTTCTGAGCACTTTCTTCACATATTATCTAATTTAATCCTCACACCACCACTTTGAGAAAGGTGCTATTATTAACTTCATCTTAAAGATGAAGAAGCTGAGGCTCAATGTCTCACATTTAGTTAGAGGTGTAGCTAAGGCCAATACTACACTGTACTGACCCTCAACACCATTAGAAAAGTGATTGCCTGGGGCGCCTGGGTGGCTCAGTCGGTTTGCCTGACTTCGGCTCAGGTCATGATCTCGCGGTCTGTGAGTTCGAGCCCCGCGTCGGGCTCTGTGCTGATGGCTCAGAGCCTGGAGCCTGCTTCAGATTCTGTGTCTCCCTCTCTCTCTGCTCCTCCCCTGCTCACACTCTGTCTGTCTGTCTGTCTCTCTCTCTAAGATCAATAAACATTAAAATTTTAAAAAAAGAAAAAAAAAAAGAAAAGTGATTGCCTATTGACTAAATTTAACCATGTCATGACCCATCCTATTTTGGTTCACCTACTCAAATGGAGGAGCCGTGTAGGAGGGCTACTCGTTTTTGACATGACTCTGTATTCCTTAAGATGTTCTGAAGACCAGGACTGACCAGGGACTCTTCCCTAAATGGGAAACACTTGCTTTGGTGCTCAGACAGGCCACCAGCAAAACCTCAAGGAATGGAGGGAGACCAGGCTTCTGAAGCCTCTTTCCCTAAAGATATATGACAACTTCACTTTCATTTATGGTATAATCTAGTTTCTTCTGAGGCATTTAAAATTGTAGTACAGTACTCAGCAAACATTAAAGAATACAGTGGAATATATATTCATCCTTACAGTTGTTATCTGTTTCATTTTACTATAAAATTGAAATAGTTTAGTAAAATCTGTGGCTTGAACAATTATTGTCAAATCATTCCACGTGCCATTACATAAACTTCAAACCCAAACTTTGAAATGCCTCCAGGTGTTGTCTTCCTCCAATGATCCGCGCTGGTATAAATGATGCTGCAGTGCCGTCCTGTGGCTGAGCTGACTAATTGTGTGTGTGTTTCCTGCCCAACCTCTGAACCATGCTCTTGCTGGGCTCTTCTCACTGCGTTTTTCAAAAATATTTTTCCCTTATGAAGAAAGCAGTTCTACTGAAATCATTTCTTTTTAATTAATAGAAATAGTTCTTCCTAGCTTTTGAGAGCAAGAAAAAAAGCTACAAATCAAGATTTGTGGTTTTTTAAAAGTTTTTTTGAAACGGCTCTTCATCTTTAAACCTGAATGACAGTTTTCCAGAACCCCAAGTGTAATGATGGATTTTCAGAACTCCCCCTTTGTCAAGGCTGCCCCGATGTGGTGGAAGGAACGCTGCTGTGCTTGTAAGTCTAAAGACCTGAATTCTAGTCTCAGCTCTGTTGCTTACAAGCAGTTTAGCCTCTTGGAGTTAGATTAGGTCACTTTTACGGTCCCTTGGGGCACTAAAATATGTGATTGGGGTGTTTTATTCTAAGTCTGAATATGAATATGAACTCAATTGAATATGAACTCAAATATAATGTGAGCAATTAGTGACTGAAGCTATTTTTATTTTGAAATGTGAAATTTCTAATATCAGGAATCCCAACAGGGTTTTGAAAAGACATCTAAGTTTAAAAGGGGAAAATTTATACATGGTTTAATCTCATACTCCCCAAATTGCAAACAGTCCAAATGCAAAAATCCACAATGAGATTTTTGTGCTACAGATGTGAGAAAACTCCAGTTTTGATGACTGTTAATTCCACATCAGTTCACAGTTCAGCAAGGTTAGCAAACAACAACAGCAGCAAAAACAGCAATAAAGCAACCCCAGACCCACTTAGTAGAGACGTAGTGTCCAGAAACAGGGACCAAAAGTTTCATTTAACTGTGGAGAAGTCATCACTCTAAAGGACATTGGCAACCTGGAGCAAAGCCACAGGAGACTAACCATGAGGGAGCAGGGAAGAGCAGGTCTGGGATATATAAAAGCGCCCAGGAATGTTTATCCTGGAGAGAGAGAGCTGGGAGAGAAGACAGGAAGCATCGGTGTTTTGCAGGTCTTGGAAGGCTGTAACTTGGAAGTGAGTTTGGGGTGGTATTGTGCTATTCCAGAAGGTGTAACTAGGACCGAGGCCCTGAAGGTATATCAGGGTGGTTCATTTCATTAATGAAGCACTTTTCATATTTAGAATTGTCTTCTGATACCATGTGGCACATTCCTTGTTACTAGAGGTGAGAACTCTGGGGCAGGGAAGGTATAGGACATCAGGTGGTGGTGCCAGTGATGTTGGTGGGGATGAAATTGGATAGGCTTTGGGCCCTTTGATTCTATGAATACTTGGCATAATTCCATATTTGGCACCATTAACTGAAACTTTTTAATGATGATCAGTCAACAAATATTTATGTAATATTTACTATTACATGCCAGGTAGTTTTAGGAGATGGGGATATGGTGGTGAACAAGACCAACAAGGTCCCTTTCCTAAGTGAATTTACATTCCAGTGGGATGAGCTTAGTGGATAACCAAGACTATTACAATTCTGTGTCAAACTCTGATCTACTTCCAGCACTCTCTTTTCCTCTGGAATGAGAACTGACTAGGCAGGGGAGAATTCTGGACTTTCAGATTTCTTTCTCTTAGATGAGAACACTAAGATGCTTGCACATGTGTTGTATATACTGCCTTTGACAGCTCCAGAGATGGAAATAGGGTCTGAATGTTATCAGTGTTTTATCTATTTGTATTATTAAATACTACGTCAGTCTGGTGGGTTTGCTTTATACATATGAAGCTCCTGGATCATTTTGATGATTTGCCTTTTCAAGGTGGGTTTGACTTTTATAGACATATTTTTCCTTAATTACTTCCTCAATTATTGAAGGCCGAATTTGTTATTGGAAGAAGGACTTTATTCCATTGTTCACATTTATTATCATTATTTTCTTGAGAATCTTGAATATTTGTTAGTCTCCTGCAGTTGGTTCTGCTGACTTTAAGGCTGTTCATTGAATTCATTTAATAGCACTTGGGAATATCTGCTATGTACCTGGTACTCTTCTAGATGCTGGTGATATCTAATAATGGTGCTGTTCCTATTTTCAAAGAGATTACAGTCTAGTTTTGGAATCACACACATGTGAGCATATTAGTGCAACTAAATGTAAAATATATATGTACATAAACATTTACATAAATTATACATATATATGTATATATGTATTATGTATATATGTATATATATACACATATATATATGTATATATGTATTATGCACACCCATAATGCAATTATGGTATAGATGGAAATAAGGCAATAGTCATTTCTCTCTAGGGACATTGGGAGAGTCTTCAACAACTGTTCTCTTTCCCCTCCTTATCTTGTTCCTCCACCCTCTCCTGCTCCACTTTCTCTTTCTTCACTGTGGTCACCAGAGTGAACACTTATGTGTGTAATGTGTTCTAAGCATTTAGCCTCTATTAACTCAATTAATCCTCAAACAATCCTATAAGATAGTCATTATACCTATCTTGCAGATGAAGAACCTTGACACATGGAGTTTAAATAAATTGTCCAAGGTAACACTGCTAGTCATGGAGGTAGTGTTTCAGCTCGGTCATATGGGGTGGGTGAAGGAGAGAACAGGGTAAGCAAAGACATGTGTATTTGGGCCACTAAGATGTTTTGTGGAATGGAAAGCATTTTGGAGTAGATTTAAGTATATGACGTAGGATCAAGAGTGATGGAGGGAGGAGAAGGCAGGGACTAGGTAATGAATGGTGTGTGTGTGTGTGCCCTAGATAGGGTTGTACTTCACTGTATAGGCAATAGGGAGCCATGGGAGTATTCTAAACACAATTAGACAGCCCAATTTGCATTTTAGAAAGCTAATTTTGGGGCCACCTGGTTGGCTTAGTTGGAAGAACATGTGACTCTTGATCTCGGGGTCATGGGTTTGAGTCCCACATTGGGTGCAGAAATTACTTAAATAAAAGTTAAAAAAAAGAAAGGTAATTTTGGTGGATATATTACATAAAATATATAAGGAAGGGGGTGTATGAGAAGAACAAGGGTTGAGTGAGACCGAAGACAGGGAGACAAGTGAGGAAGTATCCTCATAGTCTAGGGAGACATGTGAGGACTTGCTTGGTCAAGGTCAATATTTCCATGGATACAATTTAGAATTTTAAATTTTGAGATTTTTGGCTCAGATTCTTATTTTCTTTTTTTTTTTTTAATTTTTTTTAACGTTTATTTATTTTTGAGATAGAGAGAGACAGAGCATGAATGGGGAGGGTCAGAGAGAGGGAGACACAGAATCCGAAACAGGCTCCAGGCTCTGAGCTGTCAGCACAGAGCCCGACGCGGGGCTCGAACTCACGGACCGCGAGATCATGACCTGAGCCGAAGTCGGCCGCCCAACCGACTGAACCACCCAGGCCCCCCCTTATTTTCATCTCAGTAACGTTTTTTACATTTACATGAGGAACATAGATGAAATTTTTTATATTCAATCAAATGAAAGGTAATATAATCAAATTAACTTCTGAGCTTTTGGAATATTTTTGAAGAAAGAAAAAGATTGAAAATTTTTAACTGCAGGATACGTATAGTCAAGTAGTGTTTCCTGGTATAGAGTTTGTAGGAGGAGCTACAAATGTGCTACCATGTGCAGAAAATACCTATTTTCAGATGAAAAAAAAAAATGAGGTCTGAAGAGGTAAAATGACACAGATACTAGGTGATAAAATTAGGATGGAAGCCCAGGTCTATTTGACTCCAATATTGGACTGTTTCTACTAAGTATCACAGGCACTGGAGAGGAAGCCTTTTCCATCTCCTCCCAGCTGCTATACTAGCTGATTTTCAGAAACATGCATTGGTTCCAGGCCAGGTAATAACAATTGCATTGTTAGAATTAGCTCCTAGACTGCTATTGACACTTGATAAATATAGATAAAAACAAGCTGGCTTCATAGGACTTTAGTAGCTAAGAAGGAAGATATTCTAAAATGACTCACTTGAGATTTTGAATTCTTTAAATTATTTTCTTTTTAAATGCTTGTTTTTTCTTGACTCACTATTTATGGTATTTTTGGTTTAAGTAGTCAGCAACTTGTGCTCACAACTTATAATCTGATTATATTAGATAAAAATCATCATTATTAGCTTAAAATGAAAATTTACTTGAGTGTGCTCTTTCTTCCTCAGGCCTTGGAATACTTCCTGTGGGCCAGTATGTGTATGGAGTTCTCGGTCCCGCTCCTGTCTGTCAGGTACCTGACGTGGCGGGCTACTCTTTACACTGCCGTCTGCCAGTGCTATTATGACTGCCAAGCTGGCGTTCATGCAGAGGTAGGCCCCTTGTCATTCTCAGCATCCCAGTATTGAAAATTACAAGTCATTAGCATTTTCTTCTTCAGATGCCCAGCAACACAAACACAGACAGACAAAACCTGAAGAATTGCAGTGGAGCAAAGACAGAAGTCCCAGGGAAGTCCCTGCAGAAGTGTGCTTGGCTTCCCCGTTCTATTGATCTCTTGCTCTACATTCTGCTCTCTCCTTTGCTCTTTGTTCACTTCCACCTCCTTGGACCCTTTTCTGAATAAGATTTCTGATATCTTTCCTTCCCCGTTGAATTCTTTCACACAAGTCACTCTTCTTCCCTATTTAGTTTTGCATTCTATGCCCCCTGCAATCCATTTGTCTTGCTTTTCTCTGCTTCCAGATGTCATTTAATACACCCCCACCTTTTTTTTTTTTGTTAGTTTTTCTTCTTTTCCTGTATATCTTTTAGACCGAATACTTGAAATGTAACTTAACTTTTAGGGGTTTCTATTAGCCTATGTGGTACCTCTGTGTAAATGAAAAGCACTCTTTTCTACAGTACATGGTACTTAGCTTGTCAGTGGATGAGGGCTTGGTGAGAATTAGAAGTAGGCACTCCTTCCTTTGGGCCAGCACATCCCTGCACCAGTGTATATGGTCTGGTGAGTGCAGAGGATTTCAGCCTTCACTTAACTTCTTGGCTGGAAGTCTGAGCAGGACAGAGCTTTACGGTTATACAAATCTTTTTTCGTATCCTGTTCACAATCATCTGGCCAGTTAATGGCTCCTTTACATTTGGTTTTTCCTGCCCAAACTAATTCTGAGGGATTGGATGGTAGTGGCCCATCCTGAATAGCCTAGTATAACCCTTGTGGGAGACATTTTCTAGCCAAGAATGCATTCTAGAAACTACTCACCATACATGTACAGTTAGTTATAGTGTACTAGGGGTGGCATATTTCTGTAGCTATTAGAATTGTCGGCGAATGGAACATATACATAGTTTTGACTATTTGATTCCTATTGGAATTCTTCCTTATTGGAAAATTTAACTGTTCATGTATGTTATTATGTCTGGAAGCATCTTCAGGAAAAAATTATGAATTATAGATAACGTATTTCAAAGAAATGGTAAAATAAATTACATAAATTGACCTGTTTTGTTACTATCTCTAGAGAATTATAATAATGGTGATCTGATTAAATAAGCAGGCTTCCTTCCTTCCTTCCTTCCTTCCTTCCTTCCTTCCTTCCTTCCTTCCTTCCTTTTTTCCCTCAGATATTAATAAATACTTCCTACATGCTGGCTACCAGAGATACAAAAATAAATAAGATCCTTAAAGGGCCTCACAATTTAGTGGACAAAGTGAATAGTTGAATACATAATACAGCATGCTTTAGTAAGGTTAAGATTTAGGGTAGAGCACTGAGGAAGGGCGTGTGTTTATGTGTGTGTGTGTGTGTGTGTGTGTGTGTGTGTGTGTGTGCATGTGTGTATGCAATGACAGAAAAGTGATAATCTATATGAAGCTACAGAATTTGGCTTTCCTTATTTTTTTGATTTTCTTGATTCATAAAGTTAGCATATCTGACAGTTTATTGACTTTAGACCTGCAGAATTCGGGGATGCTTGTAGGAAATGATTGATGATATACTTACAGTGTTGTAAGGAGTTAGCATCAACAGAGTTTAATTCACCAATTAAATCAAATATCTGGGAGAATAAAACATACGGTCTTGATGCATTTTTGATCACTATACTCTCACTTATTATGAATTAATTTTTTTAATCGCGTATAGGCATTTGCTCGGCGTGCTTTAGCTAAAATTGATGAGTTAAGGCAACTGGAATTGATGAGTTCCTCACAATCGCAGGAAGAATCCAGAAGATACTATAGAGAGGCCACCATAAAGGTATAAACATTTCATGAAATAAAAGAAATTGACTGCACTATACAGTTGATTAAGTACATAATATTAGTGGTTGAGAAGTGCATCCCATTGTTACCTCATATTTAATTCTTCTTTTTGAGATAGATGGCAGTGATGATCTTCAAAAGAGGAATATTTGAATCTAGAAGGAAACACAAAGGTTTGTTTAGACCAAAGATAAGAGTGAACCTAAGGGAAGCTCAAACTGTAAGTCTAAGAACATCTTCTCTTGTTCAGACTCTTTTTGCAGTGTATTTGTGTTAACCCTCTATCTTTTAGGTCTGGTCACTCAGTATTAAATCCTGCACCCTGTTCCCTACCAGTGGCAAATAGAAGAAAGCCTTCCCACTGTGGGCATGGCCTCACTTCATAGCTTTCTTAAAGCTTTTGTGCCTTCACACAATCCCACTTTTGCAACTTTAAAGGGCAAGAGGCAGAAGAGCCTGGAAAAGGTTCAAATGTACACACTTTGAGTGGTGCCACAGTGACCTTTGTCTTTGACTTCTTGTTGTTGGCTTAGGGGCCTCTGAGGTTGGCGAGAAGGTGGAGGCACCTTTGGGACTGTTTATGAGCTAGGCTACACCATAGCAATAAACAACCCCCATATCTCAGTGACTTACAATAACTGTTTATTTTCCACTGGCATCATACTTATTATAGTTATCAGGGGACTGTGCTCATGACTGCCACTCAGGGCCAAATTGAGGAGAAGCCCTCATTTCAAAAATTGCTGGTCATTCTGCCATGGGGGATATGAGAAAGCTCTGGAGAATCTTGTGCAGGCAATAATGCCCAGCATGGAAGGGACAGCAGTCTCTACTCACATGTCCAAACTCATCACATGGCTCTCCTGGCCACAAGTGTGTTTGACCAGCAGCACTAGGGCTGTTGGGGATGGAGACTGGGACACAGTTCTGCCTTTTGGGGCCCTCTGCCCTTTCTCCCTCCTGCCATTTCCTTCTCCCACTGTCTTGCCCTTGCTTTTCTGAATCTCACTATCTCTTAAGGCTCAGTTCTTTTTTTTTTCTTTGAAGCTGTTGTAGATAGCTGTAAATTCTTCTGTGAACTTCTTTGTAGGGACTGAAAATGAAAGTGAGGGGGAAGATGAGCAGTTTCTGACAGGAGAGTAGTAGACTCTCAGAACCTGAGAAGAATTTAAGAAATCATCTGATTTAGTCCTTTCCTATTACATATGGGAAAATAAATCCCAGAGTATTTAAATTATGGCCTCAAGGTCACAGAGGCAGCTAGTGGCAGCATTGGAAGCAGACCCCAGGTCTCTGGTTTAGTGCTTTCTCACTACTCCAATAACTGCTGCTCTCTTAACTCATTTCTTCTTATAACATTTAGGAGCAATTATTTATTTATTTTTTTCTCTTAAATCGTAATATCTAAATACAATTATTATTTGGGCATGGTAGCTTTCTAGTGTGACTATGATATGTTGACTACTGAGCCCAGAAGTACATTTCATACATCCTTTTAAAATCGTGTCCCCCATGGGGCGCCTGGGTGGCGCAGTCGGTTAAGCGGCCGACTTCAGCCAGGTCACGATCTCGCGGTCCGTGAGTTCGAGCCCCGCGTCAGGCTCTGGGCTGATGGCTCAGAGCCTGGAGCCTGTTTCCGATTCTGTGTCTCCCTCTCTCTCTGCCCCTCCCCCGTTCATGCTCTGTCTCTCTCTGTCCCAAAAATAAATAAACGTTGAAAAAAAAAATAAAAAAAAATAAAATCGTGTCCCTTACCGACCAATGGTGTATAATTTGTGCAGGTGGTGACTTCCAAATTATAGCTAATTCCTTGGATGGGCTGTGGAACCGCCTGCATCTGGTATTGTTGAGTAGTGACGCTATGTAGCATTTGGAAGAGAGCAGGGGGTAGTGTTTTTTTTTCTGACTAGCAACTTTTTTTTCTCTGAGCAAACCAAAGTCAAGTATCCAAAGCCATAAGATTGTCATTAATTAGCATAATATTATGCTTTATAATCATCCTGGTATAAAAATTAAATATATTTTCAAAGAAAAATGTTTAAAATTCTGTATAACATTACATTAAAAACACATCTATTTCTGGTTTCCTTAAAGATGATTATTTTATGGAAAGGTCTGGTAGTATATATTTTTAGAAAAAAAGTTGTAATGTTTAGTTGGCAGTTTCCATAGGGAATAGTCAATATATCCTTTTTAAAAAGTCATCAGCCGGGGCGCCTGGGTGGCGCAGTCGGTTGGGCGTCCGACTTCAGCCAGGTCACGATCTCGCGGTCCGTGAGTTCGAGCCCCGCGTCGGGCTCTGGGCTGATGGCTCAGAGCCTGGAGCCTGTTTCCGATTCTGTGTCTCCCTCTCTCTCTGCCCCTCCCCCGTTCATGCTCTGTCTCTCTCTGTCCCAAAAATAAATAAACGTTGAAAAAAAAAAAATTAAAAAAAAAAAAAGTCATCAGTATTTGCAATATTTGACATATTTTGCAGAATGTTCTGTTCTATATATATGAAATAGTTTTATTATATGCCTACAAAAGAAATTAATTTCAATATGCATTAAATCTGTTTTATAAAACATTTCTCTGAATTTGTAAGTCCATTGTGAACTCGCAGTTAATCATTTTTGTTTTTTTGTTTTGTTTTGCTTTGTGTTCTTTTAGAGAGAGAGAGAGTGTGTGTATGGGTGGGAGAGAGGGACAGAAGAGGCAGAGGGAGAGAGAGAGAGAGAGAGAGAGAGAGAGAGAGAGAGAATCTTAAGCAGGCTTCATGCTGAACAGGGCTTGATCCCACAACCCTGGGATCATGACCCGAGCTGAAATCAAGTCGGATGCTCAACCGACTGGGCCACCCAGACACCCCAATCATTTTGACTTTAAAGGATTCCTTTCAAGCACCACTAATCCATACTCCTAGTGATTGTTTGGGATTCATTCAATAAATATTTTTAAAGTACCTGCTGTATGTACAAGGTAGGTAGAAGTTACATTCTTACGGAGAAATTACATAATAAATAAGTATAGTAATTATTGCTTGTGATAAGTATTAAGAAGGAAATAATGATAGAGATTAAATGAATTACATGTAAAGCCCTTAGAATGTTTCTAGCATGTAATAGATCCTCAGGAGTATTAGCTATTAGTTACTTTTTCATTCATTCATTTAACAGAATGTACCAAATGCCTACTGTGGTTACAAGTATGGTAGAATATAGAAAAGCAATGTCACAGGTCTGTCTTTTTGAATGGCCTTGGAATAAAGAGCAGGATTTGACTGGACAGGAAGAAGAGAAGAAAACATTCTAAGTTAAGGACCAGAGCAAGATCATAGCTTGGAAACAAGAGCAAACAACACTTATTGGGGGACAGAAATTAAGCTTGACTGGGCTAAGTGTGTTATGTTGGAAAATTAGCATAATACATCTAATGGAGTAGATGTCATAGAAATCATAGTATTTAGAAGTGGAACAGACAATCTGGATCTTACCATTTAGCTTCTCAACCATCCTGATGTTTTTAAAGATGGTATAATATACTTGATGCAGTTTTGTACCATAATTTGTCAAATTTTTTATTACTATTTAAAATTTTAGTTGTTTCCAGTTCTTTGTCATTATCAATATTGAAGTAATCAACATCTTCAAGTATGTTATTTTTTTCTTTTATTTCCTGTGGACAAAATTCAAGGTGTAGGATTTGAATCAAAGGATACAAGCATCTTTATTTCTTTTGATATATACTCCCAAATTGATTTCCGAAATAGGTACATAAGGTACAACCTGTATGTACCAATTTCACCACAAGCTGTTATCATTTTGATATTATTCTTAATTTTTAAAATAATTCTGTTTTTATAAAATGGCTTATTTTAACTGTTTCTGTGATCCAACTTTCCCATATTTTTGTGATTACTCTTTTTATTTCCTTTTTCTGTGAATTATCTTCCACAGTTTTTGATCATTTATCTACTAGAGATTTTAATTTTTAAAATACATTTGAATGATTTCATTGCTTTTATACACATTAATATCTTGCTTGTCAGGCTTGGCAACCCACTGTTTTTTTATTGCCTGAAATCTTTGTTATAGATTTTTAAAATATTTATATTTTAAAATGTTTACTTAGTATTCTTCTACAGCTCTGATAAATAATCTATTTCACTTTTTGATAGTTTTTCTATATTTCTAAAAACAATTTAACTCTACTCTTTGGGTTTTATAATTTTATTTTGAATACTTCTAATTATTAGGAAGTTTATTATGCTTTTAAATATAATTTTTAAAAGCTCTGTTTTTTTTTTTTTAAATTTTTTTTTTTCAACGTTTATTTATTTTTGGGACAGAGAGAGACAGAGCATGAACGGGCGAGGGGCAGAGAGAGAGGGAGACACAGAATCGGAAACAGGCTCCAGGCTCTGAGCCATCAGCCCAGAGCCCGACGCGGGGCTCGAACTCACTGGACTGCAAGATCGTGACCTGGCTGAAGTCGGACGCTTAACCGACTGCGCCACCCAGGCGCCCCAAGCTCTGTTTTAATCTACAATAAAAATCTTAGAGGAAACCCTTACCTCTGTTTGTAAATAAAGAGAGACTAGGGCATGAAGTTCAAGTTTTACTGAGGTTTTTAACATGTCAGTTGACCTATGGATCGAAAAGGCATAGAAACTAATGAGTAGAGAAGTTGGTTTGTGGAAAAATAGTCCAAAGCAGCTTTAACCCTGTTTATGTTTTTCTGCCTTTCTGACTTTGCTCCCAAAAGAGGAGAGAAGCAGGGGAATCATGGGGAATATGACGGGTATCTTCTAACTGGACATGGATTCTAGAAAAGCTGAGCACAGTTACCTCTCTTGTTTACTGGTAATCTAAATACAAAAAATAGATCAGTTGTTGGAGGAGTATAGAAGCAAGCCATTGGCAGAAGGGGAAATTGTTCTGGGATGATACAAAGCAGAGTGGCTGGGAATTCATACAGGGCTCAAACAGTCATTAGCTTATTAGTATACAGCTGGTCAACTATTCTTTATTTAACTACCACGAGACCTGTTATTTGTACTGTAAAATATTGTTTCTAATTTGGGTTTAAGGACCTTCAGCATTGGAATTTCCTGCAGTGCTGATGAAAAGTGTTCCACCTAGACCCACTGAATCTCAGGATTTGGTCTGTGAATCTAAAAAGCACCCCTGAGAGATTCCTAGGCAACCAAAGTTTGAGTATCAGTTCCTAAAGGCTTTAATTAAGGTAACACAAGGCATATGGAGATTGATGTTGCCCTAATAAAAAGACAATAATAAACAGCCTTTTAATGCTGCCTTGGAAACACAAACACAAAGAAATAGCAGTCTTTGATGTAATGGCAGCATGACAGAAACTTTAATGGAATCTGGAGAGACACCTCAAAAACGAAAACCATAAAAGCAGCTGTCTCATTCATAGGCCATCCACTCTCTCCTTTAGCACTTGTAGCACGAATGAAGCATGCCTTACTTATCTTGGCTTGTAATATTAAACATTTTAGAACTTTAAAGAAGTGGACTGTGTGTTTTGTTTTGTTTTTATTCCAGTTGCCATGGCCACGTACTGTCACGGAGCGGTTGTTGGATGAGATGTTTGATAGCACCGCATCCCGGTTTCTGGCTGTCTTAGAAGCTCTTTCTGATTCAAATAGGCGTACTCTACAAACTGGACCTATTGTTACAGATGAAGTAGAAGTTCGTGATGTTGTCTCAGAACTGTTTATGGCAGGAAAAGAACTTTTAATAAGTAAATAATTTGTTAAAATGACATTTTATGGTAGAACTTGAAAAACAAAAATTTTAGTATCGTATTCCACATTTAAGAAACTGATAACCAATTTTTATCAATCTTAAATTCAGCAATATTGCTAAACTCAATTGATAATTTAAATAATTTATTAGATTTTCTTTTGGATTTGTTTGGGTGTATAATCACCTGTAGATAATGACAATTATATTCTTTCTTTACAATTCTTAATCTTTTAATTTCTTTTTTCTTGCATTTCTTGACTTATTGCACTGGATAGGATCTCCAATAAAACATGAAATGGAAATGGCGATAGCAGATATCCTTGTCTCATTTATGATCTCACATGGAAAGCTTTCAACATTTTACCATTAGTTTGATGTTTGCTGAAGGATTTTTTTAGATGCCTTTTTTCAGATTAAGGAAGTTTCTTTCATTCTTGGTTTACTGAGTTTTGTTTGTTTGACTTTAATCCTGAATAGTTGTTTAAATTCATCAGAAGCCTTTTCTGGATTTATTGAGTTGATTGAATGGATTTCTATTTCATTTCTGTTAGTGTGGTAAATTACATTGATTGCCTGTCTAATTTTTATCCACCCTATATTTTTGGAATAAACCTAATGTGGAGGTGAGGATTATTCTTTTTTTAAATGTTTGTTTATTTATTTTGAGAGAGAGAGAGAGAGAGAGAGAGAGAGAGCACATGTGCATGAGAAGGGGAGGGCAGAGACAGAGGGAGAGAATCCCAAACAGGCTCTGCGCGACCAGATGTGGGGCTTGAACTCACAAACAGTGAGATCATGACCTGAGATGAAATCAAGAGTCAGATACCTAGCTGACTGAGCCACCCAGGCACCCCATGCTTTTTAAGACAATAAATATACGATTAAACCTTTTTCCTCATCCTTCCCATTTTTCAATACTTGTTTCTAAATTCATTTCTTTTTGCTCAAATATAAACTCTAAGAACTTTGAAATACTTTAGCTGGATATAATGTTTTGCTTCAAAGTTGGTTCCTTTTAGAATTTTAAAGACATTTCTCCATAGTCTTGCATATGGTATTGAGACGTCTCTCAGTTTAAATCCTGTTGTTTTATAGATTTAGCTTTTGTAATGCCCTCTTTACTATGATATTCTCACATTTTATTATATTAGGCCAAGGGGTGGGTTTTGTAATATAGCAAGTACTTTGAGGTCTTAGATCTTTCTTTCATTTTTCATGTTATTTCTTTGTTCCTTCCCCTTACGTTTACTTTTGAAAAATTCTCTGATGGTCCTAATAGGACCATCAGATGTTATCACATCCACTCTCCATATCTTATTTATATTATTATTTTAATTTCTTTACTCCTTTCTATTGCCTTCTGAGAAGGTTCTTCAATCTGACTTTCCTGGTCACTCATTTGTTCTTTGGTTCTTGCTATTCTACTCCATTCATCTATTGAATTTTTGGTTTTCACAATAAAATAATTTATACTTAGTTCCTGTTTGATTATTTTTCACAGTAGTTTATTCTTACTTCATGTTTGTAAAGTAATATCTTATTTCCTTAAGAGAATAAACTTAAACTAAGTTTAAGTGTTCACTTCTTTTCCTTTTTTCTGTTTCCTCTGGTAAAGGATGTTTTCATTTGTGGTCTTTGTTTCAAAGTTTTTGTGCTTTCAACTTTATTTTTTCATGAACTTACCTTCTATTGCCTTGGAACAGTTACCTGACTCGTCCACAATGTCAACTTGGAAGGAGAGGTAAAACCTAGACCTTAGCATGTGTACTTTCAAGTGAGTTTAGTGTGTCTGTGTGTGTGTGTGCACATATGTGCGTGGGTGTGGACCTGCACCTGTATGCCCATTTGAGGGCAGTGAGTGTCCATGGTTTGGGCTCATCTCCTTTTCATGAGGAAAATACAAGATCTCAGATGAGAGTTTCTTCACCCAAACTTGAAAATTTACTATTACCTGTACTGATCTTTTCCACTGTCTCTCATTAAAATGGAAGGGATATTCCTTCTCTTCCATTTGAAGTTATTTATTTATTTATTTATTTATTTATTTATTTATTTATTTATTTGAGAGAAAGAGTGAGAGTGAGCAAGGGAGGGGCAGAGAGAGAGAGGGAGAGAGAGAATCACAAGCAGGTTCTGCACTGTTAGTGCAAAGTCTGATGTGGGGCTCAAACTCATGATCTCGAGATCATGACCTGAGCTGAGACCAAGAGTCGGATGCCCAACTGACCAAATCACCCAAGTGCCCCCTTTTTGAAGTCTTTTAGCCTAATCTATCCAAACTGCCCCTTTATCCCATGTCCTCTTTCAGCTTCCTCCCTGTATTTCTTCCTTTTATTATAGTCAGAAATGCTCTGTTTCCACTGTTCTCAATTCTTTCCTTCCTACTTATACAGCCTTCATCCCTCTGTCCTCAGCCATCTACTGAAAATGTCATGGATAACTTCCTTTTTGTTCAGTCCAAGGGTCACTTCTGAGTACTTTCTTCCTTTACTCTCTACAGTGTTTGTTACTGTGTGATACTCCTTTCTAAACACTTTTCTTTGCAGCCTTTTCTCCCTCTGCCCTTCTCGTACATGTTGGTGTTCCTAATTCTCCTGTCCTAGGAAGCTGTGCATTGCCCATGTCTGATTCTGTTGTTTACTATGGATATATAAAGATGACTCTAATGCTGTATCCCTACTTGTACTATCTAACTTCCTAGTTGACTAGTTAAAACTCTCGCTAATTCTCTGTTTTTGAGATTCCATGTTCCTTCCTTTGGATGGCTGTCCTTGACCACTCTCCTACCCCAAAACGATGTTCAGTGCCTTTCTTATTTGTCCCCATCGCACCCTATATTTATTTCCCTGCTAAGATTTCTTGTTTCCCCACCACAGTGTAAGCTCGGTGAAGACGGATTGTGTTTTCTTCTTTTCCATTGTTTCCCTAGTGCCTGGCAGTCTGATAGTTAATATTTAGAAAATATTTCTTTGCATGAATGACATTCAAACCTCTCTCTTCCCTTTTCTAGTGTCAAATACTGGTGCAGATGGAATGCTTGATTTTCCACAAACATCTCTTCTGCAACATATTATAAAAGGAAAAAATGTTATTTCTATAGATGCTGCTGTGAAATTTGTAAAACTAGCTTTTACTTATGAGGAATGGAATTTATTTGAATCTTCAGCTGGGCAGCTTATTGATTTTCTCCAGGTGATATATACAAAACCAATAATTTGTTTTTATTTTTTTAAGATGCCTTTGAATTATTAATTGTGGGATATACTTCTCTTAGAGGCAGGATGATCCAGAGTTAAAGAAAGCAGAAAAGGATTTAATTCTTCTAATTGCAATAGAACCTTTAATCAATGTAAAGAGAAACAAAGGTATGGTCTTTCCCATGGAAAACTACAAAGAAGGACAGTCAGCTCAAATTTATGTTAAAAAAATCGGTTTTCATGGTAAGTATTTATTTGCCTTTTTGAAAAATTAAAATTTTTATCTGATAAAATATGCTCTTTATAGGTGAAGTGAAAGAAAGAATGTTCAAAGCAGAGGAAACAGGAGGTGCAAAGGCCCTGAAGCAAGAGTGTGTTAATTGTTGAAGGAGTGGCAAGGGGGCGTGTATGGCTGGAGCGCACTGGTGGTGCTGGTGGAATTTGAGAATGTGGTAGGAAATGAGGTCAGAGAAATAGCCGGGTGCCAGATGCTGCAGACTCCTATGCCTTCTAACGATGCTGGCTTTTATTCTGTGTGATGATTTTGAGTAGATGAATAAGGCTCTACTTAGCTGGTGCCTTGTTGGTAAATGAGAGACCGGCAGGGCAGTAAGTCATATGCCATCAGTTCACTTTGGCAAGGGAAGATTTGGTGGTCTCCTATCTTTTTTTAGTAGGGGGAGTTTTTCATTCCAACATTTTAAAAGTTATTGTGTATAGAACTGCAAATCTGCAGCCTCTATTTTCAGACCAACAAGGATGATCTAATCTGTTTTTTATGTTTTATGTTTCATGGCTGGTCAATTGCAATAAATAGTTTGTACTAAGTAATGATATACATGTTTTTTAGTGGTATCCGAATAGATAATTCTGTTATTTTTATTTCAACTGCCATATTTTACACGTGTTTTAATATTACAAGCCTTTTCAATTCTATTTTGGATGTAGTTGGCATACAGATTGCAGATTAATGATAATAGTCTATTTTAATTGCATTAAAGCCCACTTAGATTAGTTTTCATGTAGAAGCATTTAAAGAGTCTTATTGATGTGATATTTGCCCAGATACCATTCATGTCATTTTGTAGAATTTCTGTGTTTCTCTGCCTTTTCTACTTGAAATTTTTAATTGATTTTTCTCCACTTTATGAATTAGATACTTATAAGACTTATGGATATTCAGAAGACATTTTCCATTTGGCAGCAACCTTGTACTCCTGTGTCTGTGCCTCTCCCCAGGTGAAATTGCTTTTTGGGGTAGATTGTAATAGTGTTGAAGGAGGCCATTATACCTAATTGAAAGCCAGATCTAAAATATCACAGGAATTGCACCTTGCCAAAATTCTATGTTGTTTAACCATTAAGTAAGAGATTGAGTTAAAGCCTGACTTGTGATTTTTTAAAAATGTTTGTTTATTTATTTTGAGAGAGAGAGTGTGTGCAAGCAGGGGAGGGGCAGATAGAGGAGGAGGAGAGAGAATCCCAAGCAGGCTTCATGCTGTCAGCACTCAAACTTACGGGGCTCAAACTTGCCAGCCTTGAAATCATCACCTGAGCCGAGATCAAGAGTTGGACACTTAATCAACTGAGCCACGCAGGTGCCCGTGACTTGTGATTTTAAGTCTCTTTTGATAATAAGTCCTTTTGTTCCTTTTTGGAAAATTACTAGACTTACTATGTTTCTAATAATGAGGGAAGTGAGGCAGTGGTTTTAATTAGAGTTAACATTCTTAATGAAATATGGCTTTCCAGTCCATGAATACAAACCCTGGTTATTTGGAGTCACTTTGCACACAATGGCCAGTATTTAGAAATGATGATTTGTGGGTATGAATGCTTAAGTAAAACTGGAAGAATACTGGTATTAAAACTCAATTCCAGGGATCCTCAGGGCTTTGCTGAAGTTCCTCAGGAGCTCAGCACTGGTTAGTAACATCCTACCTTTTTAAATTAGTTTTATATACAGTGTTGAGATGGAATTTCATTTGAAAATTTGGTTTTACTGTTATAAAAAAATGTTTGAAAACCACAATGATAGAGCATTGTATTAACTTTTATTCAGGTAAGTGCAACTACACTGAGGAACTTGACAAGTTCGCCTGATATGTTTTCCATTTTTCTGGGTTTATTAAATACTTGTGACAGACATTTAATTTTTGAAAGAAAGGTATAGTAAAACCTTGGTTTGTGAGCATAATTCATTCTGGAAATATGCTTGTCATCCAAAGCACTTGTATATCAAAGCGAATTTCCCCATAAGAAATAATGGAAACTCAGATGATTCATTCCACAACCCCAAAATATTCATATAAAAATGATTACAATGGTAATGCAAGCTGGTGCAGCCACTCTGGAAAACAGTATGGAGGTTCCTCAAAAAACTAAAAATAGAACTACCCTGTGACCCAGCAATTGCACTTCTAGGCATTTATCCACGGCATACAGGTGTGCTGTTTCGAAGGGACACATGCACCCCCATGTTTATAGCAGCACTATCAACAATAGCCAAGGCATGGAAAGAGCCCAAATGTCCATCGATGGATGACTGGACAAAGAAGGTATGGTATATCTATACAATGGAGTATTACTTGGCAATCAAAAAGAATGAAATCTTGCCATTTGCAACTACGTGGATGGAACTGGAGGGTATTATGCTAAGTGAAATTAGAGAAAGACAAATATCATATTACTTCATTCATATGAGGACTTTAAGAGACAAAACAGATAAACATGGGGGAAAGGAAATAAAAATAATATAAAAACAGGGAGGGGGACAAAAGAGAAGAGACTCAGAAATATGGAGAACAAACTCAGGGTTCTGGAGGGGTTGTGGGAAAGGGGATGGGCTAAATGGGGAAGGGGCACTAAGGAATCTACTCCTGAAATCATTGTTGCACTATATGCTAACTAATTTGGATGTAAATTTTAAAAAATAAAAAATAAAATTAAAAAAATGATTACAATACTGTAATATAATACAAAATAACAAAAATATGAAATATAAAGAAAAATAAACAATACACTTACCTTTGCAAACCTTCGTGGCTGGTGTGAGGGATACAAGAGAGAAGAGGTGTCCGACTTCCACTCTCACTAATGGAATTATTGCTGTCTTTTGGCTCAATGGAATCTTTTTCTGCATGGGGGCCATTGTATACGCTCACATGGATGTTGATTAGAGTACAGTATTAATAAAATCTTGTGATGTACTGTACTTAGTGTAACTGACAATAAGGTAGCAGAGGAAAGGGCCTATATCTGCAGGCAGCCTGACCTAGAAAGAAGCAAAGCAATCCTAAGCTTACTCTTGTATGGAAAAGTAAAGGACTGTCCATAGGTTCTGTGAAGTGACAAAAAATACGCTAGTGCCAATTGTGGGCACCTTCCAACTTCTGATTTCTGCAAAACACCACAGCCTGAGACTGAGCATCCAAGCGTGGGAAACAATCACCCACAATCCTGTAGCAAGCGAGAGAGAGAGAGAGAGAGAGAGAGAGAGGAACCATTGGCTCAGTTGTGATCCTGTGATGTTTGGCATGACTTACTATTCATATTGCAAGACATCACTTGTTTATCAAGTTAAAATTATTGGAAATGTTTGCTCATCTTACAGAACACTCACAGAACAAGTTACTCACAATCCAAGGTTTTACTGTATTTGATAGTAAATATAATGATTATAGTAGGAGAGCTAAACCAAAATTCTTTTTTTGTTTGTTTTAAGTTTTTATTTAAGTTCTAGTTAGTTAACATATAGTATAATATTGGTTTCAGGATCACAATTTAGTGATTTCAGCACTTGCATATAACACCCAATGCTCATCACAAGTGCCCTCCTTAATTCCCATCATGCATTTAGCCCATCCCCTACCTACCTTCCTTCTAGCAACCCTCAGTTTGTTCTCTATAGCTAATAGTCCCTTATGGTTTGCCTCCCTCTCTTTTGTTTTTCTTCTTCCCCTGTGTTCATCTGTTTTGTTTCTTAAAATCCACATATGAGTGAAATCATATGGTATTTGTCTTTCTCTAACTGACTTACTTTGCTTAGCATAATATTCTAGCTCTATCCATATTGTTGCAAACAGTAAGATTTCATTCTTTTTGATGCCTGAGTAATATTTCATTGTATATATTTATACAGTAAAACCTTGGTTTGTGAACATAATTCATTCTGGAAACATGCTTGTAATCCAAAGCATTTGTGTAGCAACGTGAATTTCTAGAACCATTGGCTCAGTTGTGATTATGTGATGTATGGAATCATGTACTGCTTGTACTGCAAGACATTGTTCTTTTGTCGAGTTTAAATTTATTAGAAATGTTTGTTCACCTTGTGGAGCACTCGCAGAACAAGTTACTTGCAATCTAAGGTTTTATTGCACCACTCTTTTTTTTTTACATGTTTATTTATTTATTTCAAGAGAGAGAGAGAGAGAGAGGGGCAGAGAAAGAGGGAGAGAGAGAATCCCAAGCAGGCTCTGTGCTGTCAGCATGGAGCCGGATGTGGGGCTCAAACTCATGAACCATGAGATCATGACCTGAGCCAAGTCTGACGCTTAATTGACTGAGCCACCCAGGCACGCCGATAGCAGCATTTTTGTTTCCTTTGGGTAAATACTTAGTAGTGCAATTGCTGGTTGTAGGGTATTTCTATTTTTAACTTTTTTATACATACATATTTTTTTAACATTTATTCACTTCTTGAGAGACAGAGATAGAGTGCAAGCAGGGAAGGGGCAGAGAGAGAGGGAGACACAGAATTTGAAGCAGGCTCCAGGCTCTGAGCCATCAGCACAGAACCTGATGTGGGGCTCAGACTCACCAACAACGAGATCATGACCTGAGCCGAAGTCGGACGCATAACTGACTGAGCCACCCACCTTCCCCTTCTTAACTTTTTGAGAAACCTCCATACTGTTTTCTGGAGTGGCTGCACCAGTTTGCGTTGCTACCAACAGTGTAAGAAGGTTCCTGTTTCTCTGCATCCTCGCCAATGTCTGTTGTTTCCCGTGTTGTTAATTTTAGCTATTCTGACAGGTGTGAGGTGATATCTCATCATACTTTTGATTTGTATTTCCCTGATGATGAGTGATGTTGAGCTTCTTTTCATGTGTCTATTAGCCATTTTTATGTCTTCTTTGGAAAAAATGTCTATTCATGTCTTCTGCCCATTTCTTAACTGGATTATCTATTTTTTGGGTTAAACCAAAAAATTCTAATCAAGGCTGAAAAGGGCAAGGAATTTTTACTACCAGCTTTTAAAAAAAGTCATGTATGTTGGGGCACCTGGGTGGCTCAGTCAGTCAAGCGTCCGACTTTAGCTCAGGTCATGATCTCGTGCTTGGTGAGTCTAAGCCCCATGTCAGGTTCTGTGCTGACAGCTCAGAGCCTGGAACCTGCTTCGGATTCTGTGTCTCCTCTCTCTGTTCCTCCCCTGATCATGCTCTGTCTCTCTCTCTCTCAAAAATAAATAAAGGTTAAAAAAATTTTTTTTAAAATAAAAAAATCATGTATGCCTTAGTTCATTCAATTCAACAGACATTTATTGATCTCTGTTACATTCCCATACGAGGTACTACATATGCAAATTAAGTCTTAGCGTGGCCCCCAAAGGAGTTCAAGATTTGGTGTATTTTAATTATGAACTGATTACCTTTCCAGTTCAGATATAATGCATTCCGTTTTTCTTTTGAAAAGAGCCAAATAACTGCTTTGAGAGGAGATATACTCAGTGTAGTTCATCTGTTGATACCCAGTGTAATGTTCTGTTGTTTCTTCATGTCTCTCTTTCCTCCTTGTTTATATCCTTTCCCAGATCCCCACTCCCTCTCCTGTTACTAGTTCATTCCACTCCCCATTCTTTATTATTTTAACTGCAGAAAATTTAAGAAGAAAGTAGTATGTAAAATTTTCCAATTTGGTTGGAACTAATTGGCTTACATAATGTGCCTAAAAATGTTTGTAACTTTTATTTTTAGAGAGGCAGAAGTGGCCCAGAGCATTCATTAAGAGTGTGGACTCTGGGGATTCTGGCTCAGTCAGTTAAGTGACTGACTTTGGCTCAGGTCATGATCTCTTGGTTCATGAGGTTGAGCCCCATGTGAGGCCCCATGCTGACAGCTTGGAGCCTGGAGCCTGCTGGTGATTCTGTGCCTCCCCCTCTTTCTGCCCCTTTTCCACTCATGCTCTGTCTCTCTATGTCTCTCAAAAAATAAATAAAAATTTAAAAAATTAAAAAAAAAAAGAGTGTGTGGAGCTACACTGCTTGGGTTTGAATCCTGGCTCTGCTACTTTCTATTCATTTCATCTTGGGATAAACTACTTAATCTTGTGCTTCAGTTTGCTCCTCTGGAAAGTGGGGATGATAGTAATATCAATCACTTCATAGGGATGCCATGAGGATTGCATTAACTGGTATATGTCTTAGTCTTTTTGTTATGGGGACTCTATAACAAAAATAACAGAGACTAGGTGGCTTAAACCTGGAACATTTCCTTCTCACAGTTCTGGAGGCTTAGAAATCCAAGATCAAGGCACCAGCAGATTTGGTGCCTGGTGACAGTCTGCTTCCGGGTTCATAGGTGGCTGTCTTTGCGCTGTATCTTCACTTGGCAGAAGGAGAGTGATGGACTCTGGTTTCCCTTTCATGAGGGTAGTGTTCTCACTCCTGAGGGCTTTACATTCGTGCCTAATTCCCTCCTCAAGGCCCCACCTCCCATCACATTGGGAGTTCGGATTTCAACATAGGAATTTTGGGTAGACACAAACATTCAGTCCATTGCAGTAGGTATATAAAGCTCTTAGAATGGTGCCTGGCACACATTAAATGCTAAATGCTATATAGCTATATGTATATCTTATTATCTTACCAATTTACTTTACCTTTTTTGTTTTCAGAATGCTCAGCCTGATAAAGAAATCGTTGTGGACACGATAATGTTCCTATGGCAGAAATGCAAATTAGGAATTCAGAGGATCAATATGTCCAGAAATGACTATGCAAAATTCATCCAGAATATCAGCACTAATAAAGTATTCATTTTTGTTTCCTTTCACTTGTTTTTATTATTGCTGATTTAAGTTTGATTCACATTTCAAATCTAAATTTCCATTTATCTACCTGCATAACATTCTTTAAATATGGTGCTGAGTGAGCCTTTCTTTTAAGTGTATTCTTTGTACTTCTGCTGCAATTTAGTTTTGGGTGTGAGAAGGTGCCACAGGTTTTTAAGGGAGGAATAAATATAGTGCATTTAAGGTTACATGAATGTGGCTAAACTCATTAAGAAGGTTAATAATAGAAAATACAAATCAGGAAGGAGCTTTAGGTTTGTTTTTTTTTCCCCCCACAATAATATGTTTAGACTATTTCAAAGAGCTCTTTCCTGGAGAGGAGAAAGTTGAGCAGGAGAATATCATAACCCAAAACTTAAGAGGAAACATTTTAATAGTAACATATTGGATGTGTTGCACATAGGGTGCATGGGCATGGTTTTACCATGTGCTCTGAAAAAGTAATAATGTGGGTGCATCAATGTTGTTTCCTCATTTTAGCTCCCAAGGTGTGATGGCTAATTTGATGTGCTAAGCTTTGGGGATACAGGCATGAAGCCTGCAAGGCACCTAGCATGGAGCCTGAAACACCTGCTTCCTCTTCACTATTTTGGAGGACTTTAATAGTGATCATAACGGGTACTTTTTGAAGGAAGAATGAGAACTTTGAAGATACTTATAATCTTTATTGATATATTTAAAAAGGAAGATGATAAATTTTTTATTATGGCTATAGATATGCAGATTATAAGCTTAGGTGAATCTTCTTTATGAGTTTATATAAACAGATAGATAGGATCATTGATCTTTATATTATTTATAATTATGATGTACTAATAAGGGGGGTGTACCTGTCTAACATTTCTGTATGTTTTGAAGATGATGATTTTAAGGAAGCCCTAAGTTTTTTTTTTAAAAAGTGACTCTACAATATAATATACTTTTAATTGATTTTACTGTATATTCTCTCTTTTTAGTGGGTTTATCTTCTGTGGCAGATAAATGAAGTAATTCACTGCTATAAAATGGAAGACATTGACGTTGTGGTGGTGGCAGAGGTCACATTACAATTAAGTGAAATATTGGAGTCATTAGGAAACCCACGAAAAAAATTTAAAAAATCTCTAGGTAATATAATGAATGAAAAAGTATGAAGTTATTAACACACATATGAATGTATAAGTATAATTTAGAATATGAACGTATAAATATAAATGGGAATGCAGAATAGCTACGGTTAATGGAAAGTAGTCTTTTCAGTACAGTGCTTCCTTGATGATTTATAACCAGAGATAGAAATAATACAGGTTTAACCCAGCGGATGTTAAAAGGAGGTTACATGCTCTGTGATTCCGTGGCATACATACATCTTTTGTCTTCTCCTTACTCATGCATTCCTGTTCTCCATTCTTCATTCTACTTTCACCTCTTGCCCTCTTCCCCATTTTTCCATTTTTCTTTTCTCTCCTCCCTTTTATCCCCTTTCCTCCTCTGCCATTTCCCAATAGAGTGTATGCTGCTTCAAGGAAGAGAGCATGTTTTGGTTGCCGGTATATTTTTGGTACCCACCACACTGCCTGACACAGACTGGGAGCTTAAATAAATGTCTGTTGAATGGATCACTATTCCACATCTTATATCCTTTCTAATTCTCTCCTCTCTTCTGATTCTCTCCTTTTAAAATTTATTTGTCTTTCTTCATTTATTCTATTTCTCCTCTTTTCCCCTGTTCCTTTTATCTTCCTCTTATTTGTTCTCACTTCCCACCCTCTTCCTTACTTTCCCTGCCCCAATACCTTTCTGCCAGCATCTTAGCCTTCTAGAGGGTGCCAGCCTTATGCTCTGATCCGTTTTCTCCTACCTGTGGTTGAACCCCTGAACTATTTGTTTTATAAGGTATCTCATATGTAAAGAATAAGGTGGGGGTGTCATTAGTGGGTGTTTACCTTCCTATTTCACCCCACTTACAGAGTTTGTATGACGTTTGAGGGACTTTGTAGTAATTATTATAGTAATTGTTTTCCCAGAGATTCACTAATCTGGCTCTGCCTATTCTTGGTTGTTGAGTGTTGTTTTACAGATGAAATTTTAGAGTCATGGTTCTCAATTTTTTATTGGTATCAGTATCACTTGGGAACTTATTAAAAATACAGGCCCAGATCCTATCCTATTTCATCTAGACTGGCCTTTCTAGTCTTTAATAGTTTACCAGGTGGTTTTGATACACATCCAAGTTTGAGAACTACGGGGTAAAGGTCTCTGGCTGTCTAACACATTCAGTGGCCTGAAGTCCTGGTTTTTTTGAAATGTCCTGTCCTAAAGTGCTTTTTCCTTTTTTAAAACTTCTATTATGCAGAATTTCAAATATAGAGAGATGAAAAAAGTTACCATGTACATCTAGTAACAATAATTGTGAATATTTTGCCAATCTTCATTTCTTCTTGCAACACTTGTTTTCCTCTGGAGTGTTTTAAAGCAGACATCATGTCATTTTACCAGCAGAAGCCTCAATGTGTGTGTGTGTGTGTGTGTGTGTGTGTGTGTGTGTGTGTGTGTGTCAGTTTGTCTATCTATGCAAAAGATAAGGGTTTTATAAAATTATAATGCCATTATTACTATACTTTACAAAATTAAGGAAAAATTTCTATGTTTCTGATTGTATTAAAAATGTCTTAAGTTGGTTTGTTCCAGTCAGGATCCAAATAAGCCCACACATTTTCCTTTCTTACATTTTTCTTGAGTCTCTCTCTCTCTCTTCTATAATAGTTCTTTTCCTCACCCCCTTTTCAAGCAATTTTTTGAAGAAGTTGGTTTATGACCTTATAGGATTTCCCACATTCTGGATTTGGCTGTTTGTGTCCTTGTGGTATTGATTAACTTGTTTCTCTATCTGGTAGGTAGATCTAGAGGCTTGCTTAGATTTGAATGATACCGTATCAAAATACGACCCCGGTGGTGCTATTTACTCCCTGTTGCATTAAATCAGGAGGCATATAATGCCTAGTTATCCCACGTGTTGTGTTGTAAGACTTACCAGTGAGTTCAGGTGTTGTCAACCTGACCTTTTTCCTAGGTTCCTTTCCCCAGATGTAGCTTCTGAGACAGGTTGTTGAATGAAGTAGTTTATTTGGGATATTATTCAGGGAAGCAGGGTGGTGGTGTGGAGAAGTGAGATGGAAAAGGAAAGGAAGGCAATACAAGGTACAGTAAGTTAGTGAGAAGGCTACTGTTGTAGACTTAGGGCTTATTCCCATGAAAGACCTCTAGGACTGTATAGAGCAGAGAGCTGAGAGGTTGAGATATTTATACAACTTTTGTCTGTCATTGGTTGAGGCTACTGGAGGAGTGGGGGTGAGAAGCCAGAAGGGGTTCTAACTTCTGTCATTCTTTCTGCACTCATGATATTGAGTGCTTAAGTGAAGAAATTACTTCATCAGCTATTTGGTTACTCTGGTTATTTTTGATTGTGTGGTGGACACAATCAAATATTTGCTAAATACTTTATAGAAATAATTTGAAGCCTCAGATGATGTTAATGTTCTTCCAGAGAAGATTTATGCTTGCTTTTACTAGATGTATGAAGACACTGTCACTCCAGGATCCCATTATTCCAGTGTGAGAAATTGAGATAATTTGAAGCTGGGATGCTCTCTTGTTGAATTATTTTCCATTTGCCCTAATTCCTGGGATACAGCCCCTTCTGGCTTCCCACCCTTGGTGGTCCTGGATACTAATCTGTGTTGCTTGAGTTCTCAGGACTGTTAGAAACATCACTCAGCTTCTCAACTTTCCTCTCCAGAATTGACAAAAGTTCTCAGTGGAGAAAATAGCTCTAATGCCATTCTGTATTCCCTGGGCTCTCTTCCCAAGAGCCAGATGATACTCTTTCCTCTTTACATTTTCATGAGCTTCTTTGCTTACAGATGAAAAAAGTATTTTTTCAGCTTTGTTTTTCTATTTATTTATTTATTTATTTATTTATTTAATGACAGAGAGAGTGAGTGAGTGAGCACAAGTGGGGCAGGGGCAGAGAGAGAGAGAGAAAGAGAGGGAGAGAGAGAGAGAGAGAGAGAGAGAGAGAGAGAATCCCAAGCAGGCTCCACACTGTCAGCACAGAGCTCAACATGGGGCTTCAACTCACGAACTGAGCCATGAGATCCTGACCTGAGCAGAAACCAAGAGTTGGATGCTTAACCAACTAAGCCACCCAGGCATCCCTTTTATCAGCTTTTCTAGTGGTCTCTAGTGAGGAGAATTTTTACAGATTACCTGTTACTGAAAGCAAAAGGCCTAATGGTTATTTTTTTAAAAATCTATTTCTTATTTAATTTTATTGTTTTGTTTACTGATTACTTTTGGAGACTATTGTTTTGTTGTATTTTATACTCTATTTAATTATAAATGAGATAAATACAATTTACTGATTCATTGAAAAAAGTTTTATTTCTAAAGAACTAATCAATACTGGAGCATGATCCATTTATAAATAGAAAAATCTACATTTATGTAGGGAGGGATTGTTCCCATTTAGACAAATAAATTCTTATAATGTTTCCAACATTGTTATTATCATCATCTCATTGGCACATAAAACACAAAGTACAAATCATTCTTGTGTATTAATTATGGCAATCTGATTCAAAATGTTTATTGGGCTGTTTATTAAGTAATGCATTATTTAGTTTAAGTTATTAAACTAGCATTTTAAAATAGGAAACTAGCATTGCCATATATTTAACTCAAACCAACCTTCTCCGATATTTGCCCAAATCTATAGGTTTTTACACTGTTTTCTGAATGCTTTACAATGGACTTTATAGTATGTAGAAAGACCAGTCTCTTTACCATAATATTACCTTGTTAATAATGAATAGTTTTAATTATTTGTCATACTGCAAGATGCTTTTAAATGAACTTATATAAAGATCAAATGTAATTATATGGAAGAAATAATTTGGTATTTAGTCAACTTCTAAGTGTTGAATCATTTCTAAAATCATGAGTAATTAAAAAAGTAACCAATTAAGTGTAACATTTTTTAGGATTATGATTCACTGCTATGTTTACATTTTTTCCTTCCTTCTTTTATTTCCTCTGTTCCTTCCTTCTTTCCCTTTGTTTCTTCTCTCCTACTCTCTCCTCTTCTTCCTACTTTACTCTTTTTTTCTCCTCTTCTTCCTTCTTCTCTTCCCTCCCTTCCTCTTCCATTCCTTCTTTCCTTCTTTTCCTCTTCCTCCCCCCCTTTCCCCCCCCCACAGAGATATCTTTAAGGAAAGGGACTGGTGAATTCCTTGAGACTTCAAAGGGGAGCCTGGAAATTCTCCCAATATTGAAGGTATTGCAAAAATATTTTAGAAAATATACTTAAAACATGAATTTAAATTTTCAAATAATATTATATTTATAAATATGTAATGGTTAATTATAGAAGTAATTTTGAATATTTAATATTTGAGATTTTATGGTTTTTACATACATTGCAAACTACAGGGGATGTTTTCTAGTTTTTGCATTAACTCTAGAAAAAAAATCCAATCAGGTTTAAAAATAACCTAGTAAATTCTCTTAAAAGGATTTGTAGTTATATTACTATTGGTATTTTGAATGTGTGGTGATTCATGGACTCATAAAGCAGAGATGTCCTGCTCAGCATATGCCTCTGACCAATTCTGTGTGTTATTACCTGTTGAAAATGCACTTAGAACAGGCCCTGGCACATGGCAAGTTCTCACTGATTGTTAGCTTAAGAGGAGAAAGGGGTGAGGGAGATAAATGGCCATTCCTCTTCTTGATTACTTTTGTTTTTTAAGAATATTTGAATTATTTCTGTACATCAAGGATTGTGTTGTTCCATAGATCTGAATGGGAGCGTAGGACACGTGTCATATATGCTATAAACATTTATTTATTTATAGACATGAACTAGAATAGCATTTTGCAAAGTCTGTCCTATGTGATGCTGACACTATACTTCAGAAAAGGTTGCCAGGGTCTAAGTTTGAGTGATGTTGGATTAAATGCAATAGGTCCCTTACTGTAAGACTTCTCAGAGGCATTCATTTGCTTCCAAGTATTGTGGTTTTCCCAAGAAGAAGATATAGAATATCATATATTCTATTATCTGAAAATAAAGCCCATTTTACCCCCTATAGAATAGCTACTTAGGATACTAGTGCTTCTGGACTACTGTTGAAAAATACTTTTCTAGAGAGGAAGCCAGTGATCTATATTTTGGTTTGCCTGATTAATTGAAAAACTAAAATTTTAATTTTTTTAAGTGTTTATTTTTGAGAAAGAGAGAGAGAGCCTGAGTGGGGTAGGACAGAGAGAGAGGGAGACACAGAATCTAAAGCAGGCTCCAAGCTCTGAGATGTCTGCACAGAGCCCAATGCAGGGCTTGAACCCACGAACCGTGAGATCATTACCTGAGCTGAAGTTAGACACTTAACTGACTGAGCTACCCAGGTGCCCCCAAAACTACAATTTTAAATTACAAAAGTTGTATTAGCAATTTTACTATATAGACTGAAATGCTATTATTTTTAATATTCTCTTCTAGGTATTTTTTTTAGCATAGTAGCATTCTGATATTTTTTTACTAAATATTATTCCATCAGCACTTTTCTTATTGCTAGATATTAATACTTGTAATTACCATATTTTCTCTGAAAAATCAACTTGAAATATATGACATCAAATTGTAAAGAATATTATAAGGAAGACCCATTTCCCCATCATAGCTTAAGAAAAAATACATTATTAATACAGCTGGAACTCTTCTCCACTAAGGAGTGACCCCCGCCCCCGATCATATCACCTTTCCTCCTGCCTAGGAGTAACTGGTATTCTAAATATAGTGATATAAATTCTAGGCATACTTTTTTTTACATGTGTGTGTATTCCTAGGCAGTAGGGAGTATTGTTTTTAAATATAATATAATATAATATAATATAATATAATATAATA